GGCTGCCGGCCAAGTTGGCATCCCTAGCCGCGTCCGCAGACCAGCTGGCTGGTGTGTTTACGGACATTTTCAATCTCTCCCTATCCCAGTCTGTTGTCCCCACATGCTCAAGATGGCCACCATTGTCCCTGTACCCAAGAAAGCAAGTGTAACTGAACTAAATGACTATCGCTCCGTAGCATTCACTTCTGTCATCATGAAGTGCCACCCTAGACCCACTTCAATTTGCTTACCGTCCCAATAGATCCACAGACGATGCAATCGCCATCACACTGCACACTGACTTATCCCATCTGGACAAGAGGAATACCTATGTAAGAATGCTGTTCATTGACTATAGCTCAGCATTCAACACCATAGTACCCTCCAAGCGCATCATTAAGCTTGAGGCCCTGGGTCTGAACCCCGCTCTGTGCAACTGGGTCCTGGACTTCCTGACGGGCCGCCCCCAGGTGGTGAAGGTAGGAAACAACATCTCCACTTCGCTTATCCTCAACATTGGGGCCCCACAAGGGTGTGTGCTCAACCCCCTCCTGTACTCCCTGTTCACCCATGACTGCGTGGCCAAGCACGTCTCCAGCTCAATCATCAAGTTTACAGATGACACAACAGTAGTAGGCTTGATTACCAACAATGACGAGACCGCCTACAGGGAGGAGGTGAGGGCTCTGGGAGTGTGGTGCAGGAAAATAACCTCTCACTCAATGTAAAAAAAACAAAGGAGATGATCGTGGACTTCATGAAACAGCAGAGCGAGCACCCCCTATCCATTCCTCGGCGTACACATCACTGACAAACTGAAATGGTCCACCCACACAATCAGTGTGGTAAAGAAGGTGCAACAGCGCCTCTTCAACCTCAGGAGGCTGAAGAAATGTGGCTTGGCACCTAAAACCCTCACAAACCTTTACAGATGCACAATTGAGAGCATCCTGTCGGGCTGTATCACCGCCTGGTACGGCAACAGCACCGCCTGCAACCGCAGGGCTCTCCAGAGGGTGGTGCGGTCTGCCCAACACATCACCGGGAGCAAACTACCAGCCCTCCAGGACACCTACAGCACCCAATGTCACAGGAAGGCTAAAAATATCATCAAGGACAACAACCACCCGAGCCACTGCCTGTTCACCCCGCTATCATCCAGAAGGTGAGGTCAGTACAGGTGCATCAAAGCTGGGACCGAAAGACTGAAAAACAGCTTCTATCTCAAGGCCATCAGACTGTTAAATAGCCTTCACTAGCACATTAGAGGCTGCTGCCTATATACATAGATTAGAAATCGCTGGCCACATTAATAAATGGAACACTAGTCACTTTAATAATGTTTACATACAGTGGGGGAAAAAAGTATTTAGTCAGCCACCAATTGTGCAAGTTATCCCACTTAAAAAGATGAGAGAGGCCTGTAATTTTCATCATAGATACACGTCAACTATGACAGACAAATTGAGGAAAAGAAATCCAGAAAATCACATTGTAGGATTTTTTATGAATTTATTTGCAAATTATGGTGGAAAATAAGTATTTGGTCACCTACAAACAAGCAAGATTTCTGGCTCTCACAGACCTGTAACTTCTTCTTTAAGAGGCTCCTCTGTCCTCCACTCGTTACCTGTATTAATGGCACCTGTTTGAACTTGTTATCAGTATAAAAGACACCTGTCCACAACCTCAAACAGTCACACTCCAAACTCCACTATGGCCAAGACCAAAGAGCTGTCAAAGGACACCAGAAACAAAATTGTAGACCTGCACCAGGCTGGGAAGACTGAATCTGCAATAGGTAAGCAGCTTGGTTTGAAGAAATCAACTGTGGGAGCAATTATTAGTAATTGGAAGACATTCAAGGCCACTGATAATCTCCCTCGATCTGGGGCTCCCCGCAAGATCTCACCCCGTGGGGTCAAAATGATCACAAGAACGGTGAGCAAAAATCCCAGAACCACACAGGGGACCTAGTGAATGACCTGCAGAGAGCTGGGACCAAAGTAACAAAGCCTACCATCAGTAACACACTACGCTGCCAGGGACTCAAATCCTGCAGTGCCAGACGTGTCCCCCTGCTTAAGCCAGTACATGTCCAGGCCCGTCTGAAGTTTGCTAGAGTGCATTTGGATGATCTAGAAGAGGATTGGGAGAATGTCATATGGTCAGATGAAACCAAAATATAACTTTTTGGTAAAAACTCAACTCGTCGTGTTTGGAGGACAAAGAATGCCGAGTTGCATCCAAAGAACACCATACCTACTGTGAAGCATGGGGGTGGAAACATCATGCTTTGGGGCTGTTTTTCTGCAAAGGGACCAGGACGACTGATCCGTGTAAAGGAAAGAATGAATGGGGCCATGTATCGTGAGATTTTGAGTGAAAACCTCCTTCCATCAGCAAGGGCATTGAAGATTAAACGTGGCTGGGTCTTTCAGCATGACAATGATCCCAAACACACTGCCCGGGCAACGAAGGAGTGGCTTCGTAAGAAAAAAAGTTTTCTTAGCACTTTTAATGATAAAGGCTTTAAACATTACTCGATTCAGTCTGCCTATCCGTGACGTCATCGCCCCGCGCCAGCAGCAGCGCAAAGGCGCAAAGACAACAAAACATAGCATGGCGGACGACAGAGGAGAAGCCGACGAGCGAGAAATTATCAAGCCACCATTGCGGTCCTTACAAGAAACAGGAATCTAGGAAACTTCACCTGCACTGTCCAGTATCCAGGTATTTATTTCAGTCACACTGGTTTTTTTGGCTAAAAGGTTACTGAATCGATTTCAAGTCACTGAATCGTTTCGGATCGTATCGTTCTAAATGAACCAATATCGTCCTTGAATCGTATCGACAACCACGAATCGTGATACAAATCGAATCGTTGTTAAAACGAATCGTTACACCCCTAATATATATATATATATATATATATATATATATATACACTGCTCAAAAAAATAAAGGGAACACTAAAATAACACATCCTAGATCTGAATGAATGAAATAATACTTTTTTCTTTACATAGTTGAATGTGCTGACAACAAAATCACACAAAAATTATCAATGGAAATCAAATTTATCAACCCATGGAGGTCTGGATTTGGAGTCACCCTCAAAATTAAAGTGGAAAACCACACTACAGGCTGATCCAACTTTGATGAAATGTCCTTAAAACAAGTCAAAATGAGGCTCAGTAGTGTGTGTGGCCTCCACGTGCCTGTATGACCTCCCTACAACGCCTGGGCATGCTCCTGATGAGGTGGCGGATGGTCTCCTGAGGGATCTCCTCCCAGACCTGGACTAAAGCATCCGCCAACTGCTGGACAGTCTGTGGTGCAACGTGCCGTTGATGGATGGAGCGAGACATGATGTCCCAGATGTGCTCAATTGGATTCAGGTCTGGGGAACGGGCGGGCCAGTCCATAGCATCAATGCCTTCCTCTTGCAGGAACTGCTGACACACTCCAGCCACATGAGGTCTAGCATTGTCTTGCATTAGGAGGAATCCAGGGCCAACCGCACCAGCATATGGTCTCACAAGGGGTCTGAGGATCTCATCTCGGTACCTAATGGCAGTCTGGCTACCTCTGGCGAGCACATGGAGGGCTGTGCGGCCCCCCAAAGAAATGCCACCCCACACCATGACTGACCCACCGCCAAACCGGTCATGCTGGAGGATGTTGCAGGCAGCAGAACGTTCTCCACGGCGTCTCCAGACTCTGTCACGTCTGTCACATGTGCTCTGTGTGAACCTGCTTTCATCTGTGAAGAGCACAGGGCGCCAGTGGCGAATTTGCCAATCTTGGTGTTCTCTGGCAAATGCCAAACGTCCTGCACGGTGTTGGGCTGTAAGCACAACCACCACCTGTGGACGTCGGGCCCTCATACCACCCTCATGGAGTCTGTTTCTGACCGTTTGAGCAGACACATGCACATTTGTGGCCTGCTGGAGGTCATTTTGCAGGGCTCTGGCAGTGCTCCTCCTGCTCCTCCTTGCACAAAGGCAGAGGTAGCAGTCCTGCTGCTGGGTTGTTGCCCTCCTACGGCCTCCTCCACGTCTCCTGATGTACTGGCCTGTCTCCTGGTAGCGCCTCCATGCTCTGGACACTACGCTGACAGACACAGCAAACCTTCTTGCCACAGCTCGCATTGATGTGCCATCCTGGATGAGCTGCACTACCTGAGCCACTTGTGTGGGTTGTAGACTCCGTCTCATGCTACCACTAGAGTGAAAGCACCGCCAGCATTCAAAAGTGACCAAAACATCAGCCAGGAAGCATAGGAACTGAGAAGTGGTCTGTGGTCACCACCTGCAAAACCAGTCCTTTATTGGGGGTGTCTTGCTAATTGCCTATAATTTCCACCTGTGGTCTATTCCATTTGCACAACAGCATGTGACATTTATTGTCAATCAGTGTTGCTTCCTAAGTGGACAGTTTGATTTCACAGAAGTGTGATTGACTTGGAGTTACATTGTGTTGTTTAAGTGTTCACTTTATTTTTTTGAGCAGTGTATATACATATATATATATATATATTCCGGACTCTAACATTGGTCATTCTGATATTTCTTAATTTCTTTCTTTTTACTTTTTGGATTATGTGTGTATTGTTTTGTATTGCTAGATACTACTGCACTGTTGGAGCTTGAAACACAAGCATTTCGCTGCACCTGCGATAAAATCTGCAAATCTGTTTATGCGACCAATAAACTTTGATTTGAGATGTAGCGAAGAGCCAGAATCAATGTGTCATCTCAAAGTAATTTGATGACAGCAAACCCATCATACAGTATGAAAATATGTTATGTAATGTCTGTTGTGGACTGAAAACATTCTGTCTTTTGTGGAGAGGTTGAATATTAACTGGTGGTTATGTAAGGGAGTAGGGTAAAGGGGGGTATTTCTTCTGTCAGAACTGAGGGGCCAATTGTGCTCTAAAGAAGAAAAAGGTAGTTGATCCCTTGCTCATAAAAAAGGCAAGTGGGAAGTCATGAAATTACTATGGTGATAACATGTCAATAACACATCAGTGTGTAGGTAATAATATGCTGATTTATATGATTCTAAAATACTAATCAGATAGATCAGGTTCTCTCTATCTATCATACATTAACCACCACTGTTCCTCTCTCTTTCACTTCCTCCCTCCACTATGATCTTCCTCTGGCAGCTGGAGCCATCTTGATACGATCTCCTGAGCAGAGTCTGACCAGGCCTGTCCAACAGGATGTATTGTTCTCTGTGGACATCTCCTGTGTTGGGATTCCCACCATACAGTGGACCTTTATGTCTGGCAGGGTGAGCAGAGACATTGGGGCCTGGCAACCTGGGGGGTATACCAATGTATCAGAGGACTACATGGACAGAATCCACACATACACTAATGGATCTATGGGACTGTCGGACCTACGTATTCAGGACACCGGTTTCTACGTGATCACTGTGACTGAACTGTCCGGGAGCAGCAAAGATGCAGGATTTGTCTTGAAGGTGGAAGGTGAGTGGATAGTGGGCGCAGGCCTATATGTGGTCCTCTGTAGCTCAGCTGGTAGAGCACGGCGCTTGTAACGCCAAGGTAGTGGGTTCGATCCCCGGGACCACCCATACACAAAAATGTATGCACGCATGACTGTAAGTCGCTTTGGATAAAAGCGTCTGCTAAATGGCATATTATTATTATATAAAATGTGGCATTTTGCTTTAGGCTACAATGTTAGTGTTTCATCATAGCTGACATTTACAAGAACCCCTTTATGGAACTGTTTTACTCTCAGTCCTGGAGACAGTTTCTGTAGCAGCCTTATGGTGTTATTGAACAGTATCTTTATGAGTAGTTCAGTACAAGTGACCATCATTGAACTCTACCTTTATGATTAAGCTAGTTTAGTGGAAATGAGAATTAACATTGTGTGTTCTCCCTCACTGTGTTGTAGAGGTTCTGTATGAGGACTTCCAGTATCTGTCAGTGTTTGCTGTAGTTCTGGCCTCCCTGGCTGGCTTTCTCATGGTCTCCATGTGGCTCATGGACAAAGCCTACTGCCGGATCAAGGCATGGAGACATAGGAGGCAGATGCCAGGTAAATACTTTTAGAATGATTTTGGTGTAATAGAAACATTTAGTAATTCAATGACTCAAGTTTGATTGTTCTTGTGTGTACTCGGTTTGTGTCATTGAATTTCTCTTTTTTTATTATTATCTCCAGAGAATGATATAACGGAGCTGCAACCTCTCTGATATGAAGATATATGACAAATCCACATGATACTGCCCAACAACCAATCTGAGCTAAAATGAAAGACTCATTTTATAAATCAATGAAAGCGTCCACAGCGTGTAAATATCACCAAGTTACTGATTCCAGGAACAGATGAAGGATTGTCAACCTACGTGCCTCAAGACTAGCTGCATGTATTATTTTACTGTACATTAAAACTGTATACACAACAGCTGATATTAATCAATGCTATTTTATATAAGGAAACACACTGACAAGTGGAAACAAAATATATATTTATTTTCACAGCTGAGGTCTTTGTTTCTTTTACTGTAACATTTTAAATAGAAAAAAAAATATATACATTGGCACAGGTCCCAGTTAAGTCAAATGTCCAAGCAAATCTACTAACATCAAAGCATGATTTCCACAAAAGTGGATCAAGTTAGGATTCAGCCCATAGTAAAAATCAGAGCGAGAGAGTGTGTGTGTGATAGTGGACAGACCTAAGGACAGAGGGTGAGGGCAGCCATGAGAAGCTCCATCTTGTAAACAAAGTTGCGTCCCTCCATCTTGCTCCAGTGGACCTCCTTGTAGGGCCCTCGCAGCTGGTTCCACTTCCCATCCTGGATGACATCAGACTTGGGCAGCTCCTTGCTCTTGTTGCGTGGGAACTGGACCAGGACCTTACAGCCACTCTCTGGACCATTACGTACTGGAAAAGATACAACACATTAATTTGGACAAATATTAGCATTATCTTATAAGTTTCAGTCATTCAGATCGTCATGAGTTTTTGGACTAAATGAGCTGTTTAAGGTGAATGACTGCCAATATGCCAGTGATTGATTGATTGAACGACGGTACCTGAGATGGCGTATTCCCCATTGGAGGAGGCAACGGTGATGGCCGAGGCGTTTCCGATGCTCTCCACAGAGCCCAGGCCCACATGGTTACTGAAGCTCAGAACATGCCAACCCATTACCTTAGCCAGCTGCTGTACCGCATGGACCTGGTGCTGAGACATCTGTAGTACCAGGGGACAGGGGGGAACTGTTACTCACACTAATTCAGACAGGAAGCTACAAAAAGGCTACATCAATACTTTGAAATGGATTTGAATAAAGGTTTCCGAGAAGAACTAGGTCTAGCAAATGCATCTAGTTATACATACAGAAAGCATTTTAGGTGGCTTCTAGCTATACTTGACTGTAATACAGAGTACATAAACAGCAGTAGGTGGTGGTGTGAGAGCAGTCAGTGTGTCCCCTGACCTGGGAGAGGAGGAAGTCCTGCAGCTCCTGTTCCTGGTGAGAGAGGGTGATGACACGGCCGTCCCTGTGCACCACTCGGATCTGCTCAACCCCTATGTTCAGCTGCAGCTGGATAGACCTGCACACACACACAAAAGGTCATGGAACATTCTTTCTCCATGGTCAAAGTTTTTTCTAGACATGACTTTTACCGAACATTGAAAAAGCTGAATAATTGCCCAATTCAATTGGTGGTAATTAATTAAAGTGAAACCTCTTCTGTTGTTCGAACACGGAACCTACTCTTTTCCTTTTAATTCATTCTCCAATCTCACCATATGTTCTATTCTAGAGGATATGTCGCCACTTCCTGGCCCAGAAGTCTATTCTCTGAACACTGTCCCCCAATCTATGTATAAAGAGTACTCTGCCTCTGTTGCTCTGGCCTAGCCAGTCCTCCTGGCTTTGACAGTACTCTGCCTCTGTTGCTCTGGCGTGGCCAGTCCTCCTGGCTTTGACAGTACCCTGCCTCTGTTGCTCTGGCCTAGCCAATCCTCCTGGCTTTGACAGTACTCTGCCTCTGTTGCTCTGGCCTAGCCAGTCCTCCTGGCTTTGACAGTACTCTGCCTCTGTTGCTCTGGCCTAGCCAGTCCTCCTGGCTTTGACAGTACTCTGCCTCTGTTGCTCTGGCCTAGCCAGTCCTCCTGGCTTTGACAGTACTCTGCCTCTGTTGCTCTGGCCTAGCCAGTCCTCCTGGCTTTGACAGTACTCTGCCTCTGTTGCTCTGGCCTAGCCAGTCCTCCTGGCTTTGACAGTACTCTGCCTCTGTTGCTCTGGCCTAGCCAGTCCTCCTGGCTTTGACAGTACTCTGCCTCTGTTGCTCTGGCGTGGCCAGTCCTCCTGGCTCCTGCTCCACTTACTTGCAGATCTGCTCATAACCCTGGGAGGTGATGAGGACTTTGACGCTGGACTCGTACACATCATTGATGTTGGACCAGTGGGCCTGGATCTGGGGGTCTTCTATACGGCTGGCCAGGCTGGCGATGGTCCGCGCCGTCCTGAAACAAACACGAGGGGTGGACTTGCAGTCAATGTTGAGTTGCTGTCCTGTAAAAATCTAATTCAGTAACATACTGTTTCATTGTGCAAACATTTTCCTGATTTGTGATTTTACAACAAAGATAGGAGGTGCTTTGAGTGAAAGAACAAGCCTGACAGGAGATCATTTTATAAAAAAAATATGTAAAACAGTATGATAGTATTAGCTTGTCATTGATGTGTGATGTGGTGTGTGTTTGTGCCTACCTGCTGCGTAGGAAGATGTGTTTGGCCTGTTTGATGATCTTCTCCAGTAAGCCCTCATTCTGCTGCAGGTTGGAGATCTCAGCCTTGTCGTAGGCCATGGGCCCCGCCATACGCTGCCTCTTGTGGCCAAAGGGGGCGCTAGCTGGATGGGGCATTACTATTGAACTCAGGGTCTGCTTGTGGAACTGTGGGTGGGAAGGATGGGCATTTATATTGATCAATATGTATCACAGTTCACACAATCAGCAGTGGTGCATATGTATAAGATTTTTTTTAAACATGGGGGACTTAGTATGGTCAGTATCTATCTGAGTACGTCTTTGGTCAACAATACAATTACTAGACGGTCAGGTTCAATTTAGTTCCATAATTTTCCACACAGACAAGCGGACCCACCTCTCTCATGAGCTGGTGCAGGTTGTGTTCTAAAACGTAGAGGTGGTCGTCAGGTTTGGGTTTCTCTGGCGACGCCCTCTGGTTCTTCTTCTCTCCAGTGGAGTGACACAGAGAAATTAACAACTGGAGACCTGCAGGGAGGATAGACAACCTTAATGGTGGTGTAATAAAGAAATCTCCTAGAGTAGGACTCTGCACACCTGACGAGGGGTGAATAACAGCAAAATAACAGCAAAAGCATATCTGGACACTTAGAACGTACTACTCCAGGTAACACAGACAAAAGAAAACATTTCAAATGCATTAATTTTGCAAAATGCATGGTTTCATGGAGTATACATGTTCCATAGGCTACAATAACCCCCCTAAAAGCATTGTAAAGAGTCATCACCTGGGTAGGGTTGAGAGATGATCTGGTTCTTGACTACGATGTGGGGGATCTGGGACTTGATCTGAACCGCCTCCCGGGACAGCTGAGCGAAGATCTCCTTACAGAGCAGCACGTTCTGAGCAGCCTCCAGTTTCACATGCCACGGCTGAGTGCCTGCTTTAGCTTTAGGCTGCCTCCTGAACAGGCTCACCGTGCCTAGGTCACCTATGTCAGGGGCTTGTTTCTGGATTGAAACCTGGAAGACAACACATAACAATGTTTAAGAGGCCAGGCCGAACATTGACATCATCACAAAGAGGTATGTTCTCTGAGCTGAGGAAAAGTTCAAAGGGCCAGCAGTCTCTATTCACTTTGATGTAAGCTGATCCCTCCAGATCACTGGGGATCTGGACGTTCAGTGGACAGTAATCCTCCGGGAGCTTCTTGTCTAGGTCGATGTCTGTGTTCTTTATCACCTCAAAGGTGCCGGTATGAGGAAACAAGGATCCTGCAGAGCGAGACATGGCATTAGAAATGAGCTATATAATGTCAGAAAAACACTGAATGTGCAGAAGGTGGTAAATACTGCAATGACACTAAATGACACATTTGAGCAGAGTTAAAGCCTCCATACCTGCGCTCCTGTAGCTGAGGTCTCCCAGGATCTTGTCTCCTACTTTGCGTAGTTTCCACTGCGAGCGGAGCCGCAGCAGCTCTGAGTTGAAGTCCCTCTGTCTCCTGTTCTCCTGGTTCTCCGCCACTGATTTGGTTAGTTTCTCTGCCCCCTTCAAGAGCAGCTGAGCTGCTGTGGCCAAAGACTTCTTCTTACTGATGAGCTGGAACACCTGGGGTGTCTAGAGTAGGGCGTGAGGTAGGGAGTGGGGAGGTCAGAGGAGAGAGAGTGAGGTCATAAGTACATGTCAAATAGTCCAAAGTGGCTTCATATCCATCTGCAGTGACCTCAAAACACAGGATAGGTAAAAGTAAGCAATATGTTGGATGTGAATTGTGTACCAGGAATTTGCTTTCATTGTCAGTCTAGTTCTTCCACATCAGTGCAAATCAAGACAGAATGAAGAATGAAGAGTGAACCACTTGAGACTACTGAGATGCATTGAAAAGATTAAAGTCCTGAGTAAAGCCACTTAGCTTGGCCTACCTTTCCGGCTGAGGGGTCCTGGGACACTGGGTCCAGCGCCATGTACTTCTTCTCCTTGACTACGCTGAGGACGTCGTATAGCACACACATCTCCGTCAGGGAGCTGCGTAGGTTGTTACGCACAGAGTCCCAGGGCCACAAGGACGGCTGGAACTTCACTGTGGCTGGAAGAAGAAGGAGCAGGTATCAATCAACCATTCTGTTCAGACCAACTCCCTACAGAGCGCTTAATAGAAATCATAAATGTTGCTACGGGACCATACCAGACGCGTGGCAAGGAAACAAAACAAACATTTATTTATTTTCCAAGCTATAGCACACAATATTTTACAAACAGCAGGTTTTTAAAGGACCAAAGAGAGTGAACTGCTTTGTGTTTTCATTTTTGCCATGGAAAAAATATTACGATATTGGTATCATGTCTATCAGATGGTCTCAGGAACATAAGGTATGATAGATTTTCGATAATAACTCTCCAAGGCAGAAATAATCACTTTACAGTCAACTAATGAAGCTGGTGTAGACAAACACTGAATGTGTCTATAGGGTGACATACCTTCATCCTCCTCTGGCTCTTGCTTCCCCCACTCCTGGGGGTCCCTGGGCTCTACTTCCGTCCCCTCTTCATCGGAGTCTGATCCCTGGCCAAAGTCAATCCTCTGGGCTAGCTTGGCCAGGTTCTGGGACATGGACAAGGGAGGGACATATGTCTCCATGCCATCTAGAGACACCTCCTGGACCTGCTTCTCGCAGGACGACTCGATGCTGACACGCACTGCTGGACCACCACCCGACATGATGATGGCGAAGAGGAGTCACACCTAAAACTTCACACACAAAACCATTCTAATCACTACATTTTACCCACCATAACTATGATCACAGACCAGGGCAAGTTTATACAAATAAGTAGCTCGCTAAAAAGACTACAGCTAGCCATGTAGCAAATATATACTGAACAAAAATATAAACACAACATACAACAATTTCAAAGAATTTACTGAGTTACAGTTCATATAAGGAAATCAGTCAATTGAAATGAATTCATTAGGCCCTAATCTATGGATTTCACATGACTGGGCAGGGGTGCAGCCATGGGTGGGCCTTGGAGGGCATAGACCCACCCACTGGGGAGCCAGGCCCAGCCAATCAGAATGAGTTTTCCCCCCCAAAAGTGCTTTATTACAGACAGAAATACTCCTCAGCAGCACCCCCCCCAAGCAGGTGAATAAGCTGGATGTGGAGGTCCTGAGCTAGCATGGTTACACATGGTCTGTGGTTGTGAAGCCGGTTGGACGTACTGCCAAATTCTCTAAAATGACGCTGGAGGCAGTTTATGGTAGAGAATTGAACATTCAATTCTCTGGCAACAGCTCTGGTGGACATTACTGCAGTCAGCATGCCAATTTTACGCTCCCTCAAAACTTGAGACATCTGTTGCATTGTGTTATGTGACAAAACTGCACATTTTCAAGTGTCCTTTTATTGTCCCCAGCACAAGGTGCACCTGTGTAATGATCATGCTGTTTAATTAAGCAGCTTCATGATATGCCACACCTGTCAGGTGGATGGATTATCTTGGTAAAGGAGAAATGCTCATTAACTGGGATGTAAACACATTTGTGCACAACATTTGAGAGAAATAAGCTTTTTGTGCGTATGGAAAATGTCATGATTTTTTATTTCAGTTCATGAAACATGGGACCAACACTTTACATGTTGCGTTTATATTTTTGTTCAGTGTAGTTGGCAATGAGTGATGCTAGACATTATTATATACTGTAGCTAGCTCAATTAAACTTTAGCATTGGCTAACAACAGATAGCTAGCTAAACAAAGCAAGCAAGCCAGTCCGCTGAGCCAAGTATAAAATCGAGCTCCCTAATGCACATTACAATTAGCTAGACGTGGAATACAGTCGATTTTCAACAGAACGTGAGATAGCTAGCTAGATAGAGATATAGCTTACGGTTCAGAAAGGGCGACTTTTGCAATGTCTTCTTCGTGTGTACTGTCCTGCAGAACTACCACTGGAAGTGGGCTATGCTGCCACCTACAGTGCATTTCGATGTACAATATGGGTAACGTTACATTCCAGAAAGGCATTGCGTGCCCTTAAATTGACATATGGAATTGTTTTAAGATGGTCATACTATGGATCATTTAGCTATTTGATTTTGAATTGCAGGACACTTTAGGTATATAAATATATATATAAACATTTGATAAATTTTTTTATAGAAACACATTGAATATCACATTCATAAATGGCAAAAAGGACAGTCAAAAAATAAATAATAAGAAACAAGGTTTTGAAGTGTCTGTCCTAAATCTAGGAGATATTAAAAAACTCAGGAAATATATATATATTTTCACACATATTTAACCCCTTTTTTTGGGTAGGCACAAAACTACCTTAATACTTCCATTCGTTTTTTAAAACCAGTACTGGTTACCTTCAGACAAGTCCCGTGACACTTGTGGGGGTCGTAGAGCAAAACGGAGAACACCATCGTGTTCGTGTCTCCCCTTTCCATAATAATAGTTTGTAGGTCAAACCGTCACCTTTTGGTCATGATGTAACGCATCCAATCACATGATTCAACGCGCAGTTTAAAAATAGGAAGTGACGTTTAAACGAAATAACGCTTTCACTCGTTGGCATGGATTTTGGCTAATAAACAACACTTTGGAGGATGATTTTGCAACGCATTTGAACGTTAGTTACTTCAAATTAGCATTGTTTTGTTTATTTGTTTAGCTAATCCATCATCAATATTTAATATTTAAACAATTTAGTTTGCGAAAACGTGCAAACTGGAATATTTTTCCTGTTCTGAACTGAAGTCTCTGGTGCCAGCTAGCTAGCTAGTTTAGCACAACTGCCTGGCCTTTGTTTTTCATGGGTGTTTTTCAGCCAGTGCCGTTGACCAGCTAACTAATATTTTCGCCTTTCAACATCCCTGAATTTTATAAAGATGAAGAGAAAAGTGGCTCGATTACGGTTAAGTCCAAATGAAGAAGCTCAACTCATTCGAGAGGAACACGAAAGGAGAAGGAAGCTGCGAATACAACAGGTATACAGTAGCTAACTAGCTAGCTAGCAAACACTCGCTCTCAGTGACAATGCTTACAACCCAAATGCTGATCATTAGCTACCACTCTCTCACAGGTGCGGGAACAGGAGCGGTATATCGCCCTGCAAATCCGCACGGAGGTGCAGCAGCGAAGGGAGCGCGAGCTGCAGAACCTGGCAGAGGAGTTGAAGGAGGAGTGGGAGCGACAGCAGAGGGAGAAACTGGACACCCTGCGAAAGTTATACCAGGACAATCTCCGAGTTTTGGGAGAGGGACATAGAAGTGCCAAAGAAAATGTAAACACTCAACTCTCAACCCATGTCTTAGCAATGTGTGATACACTGGCAGTCTGCAATGTAACGTTACTGGGTTTTGTAAGAATTTGTAAGCAACTTGGGTTATGCCCCAGAGCACAAAATACTTCCCTATACAACTGGTCAAGGCACACTTCATGTTTCCCCAGGAGCCTGACTGGGAGGCAATTGCACTGAAAAATGAGGAGAATCATGTTCGGGCAGATGAGCGCTATCGAGAAGCCCTCAAAGAGCTCAAATCACAGAGACAGAAAGATCAGGAGGAACAAAATCGGTGAGCCTGTCAACTGGATTTTATTTGGTCAAACAAACATGGGATTGTTACTTTGTTTGATATTAAATCTGGGATGTTTTTCTTCTCCCTCAAGTTTTATAGAGGCTAGGAAGAAGGCCATACAGGTGGAGAAGGAGAGGGCATCAAAAGTGGCCAACCTCCCGTCCCTTCCACCCAACCCAATTGAGGTATAGTTCATGTTTAGGAATCGGGCACATTGGGACCTATGGTCATACCAGTAAAAGTTGTATTCCGAGCCTGTAGGTTTGGGATGGAAAGTTCATAATCAGGCACTGTAACAATAGAATATAGGGCTCTCCATCCAAACCCACATAACATTCTTAAAGCACACATTTAACTAACAATATTATATTGTAGTATGAGCAAACAGCAGTATCAGTAGATCTTTTCAAAACAATACCAGAAAAGATATTCTCAAATTTTGTGCATTTCTTTTTACTTTTGACAGAATATTGAGTCAAGGAAGCTGCATGCAGTGAAGAAATCGGACGTGGATGCCTTCTCTGTGACCCACTATCACATGCCAGAGACTGCAGTGGACAGGGAAGTCGACACAGCACAGGTAATCTATCTTTAAAAGCTCAAAAAGATGCAATGGCCCAGTGGGATATTGTCCTCTTTCTAATGTAACCGGTGTGTTTTGTTCCCTCAGCCAAACGCACAGGAGGTGGCAGTGGAGGAGACGCTGCGCCTGCAGGAGCTAGGGCAGGAGGAGCAGAGGGAGAGACGGGAGCAGCTGGAGAAGGCTCGTCTCAGGGGCAACCACGCGCTGAGGAGGGAACAGCTCACACAGGTACATACTGCTACACAACCACACTCACCTTGTTGAAGACTATACAAGTGATAACATGAAAGAAAAGTTATTGTACGACTTTCTGCATAGGGAGGCTAAACCTGTCCTGACCTGTTAAATGAATGCCTGAAATCCTTTGAATACATATTGGATGTGTCAAGGCCAAGACAACAGCAATATGTATGTTTGTTATGCTGTCAGGACCGAGAGCGCCTCCTGGTGGAGCTGGAACACATGCATCAGACAGACCTTTTGAGGCGCAGGCAGGTGATGGCTCAGATGCCTGCCCAGATCTTCCAGCCGCTCCACAAGAGACAGGAGATGAGGGAGGACTGGCAGAGGGACATGGAGTTTGCCTTCGAAGACATGTACACTGGAGAGAGGAGTAAGGAGGGGGGGGGGGTCCAAATCACGATTAATTTTTCAGTGCTCTCTCTGCAGCAATGTTTTTCTACTCTGGCCCTGAGTACACAATTTGTTGGTATTGCCATGATGCGTAGATAAGTTGTTTTACTTGATTGAAATTGAGACATTAACCCTATCCCAGACAGAGTAGTGTGGACACACATATTATTATGGTACCTAATTACCATAAGTACGTTGGAGTGGAGTTTCTCAATTCGTCCAATTAAACCTGTACTGATCTCTTGCCTGCAGGAGTGAAAGGTGACCTGGTGCTGCAGCTGGTCCCAGAGCCTCTCCCAGCCGTGTCCACTGGCAGCCAGGATGAAGACCTAGACCTGACCCTTGAGGAGGCAACTCCTGAACTTACACCCTTGGCTGGGGCAGAGGAACAACCGGATGAAGGTGAAGAGATGGATGACTTTCTGATGTTGGACTCTGGCTTTGATTGTTTGATTTACTGACTATCAGAGTATTACCATAGTGTTGTCAAAAAAGGTTATGTGGAAACTGTAATAAATGGAGTTGGATCGTGTGCACGAAATAAACTATTGTTTTATCTGTCATGGTAGAACCATCCAGGCCTCTAGGTGGCGCTCCCAGACAGGCCTTGAAGAAACTATTGACCCGCATCAGGTCACAGAGAGACCATTGGAGCTACCGGAGGCTGGTTGATCCCCCGTCTGACCGCCAAACTACTCCGACAGCAGAGTGCAACACGACTGCAGGCGGTACGACCATTGAGACAGGCTCTCTGGCCAGTGAGGAGAGGGGCCGACCTTTGACCACTAGTCCCAGACTCCCTGACCCCTCTCAGCCAGCCCAAGGTTAGTGAGCCTTTGGTAGATCTTCTTGATTTGCTGCTACAAGTTGAAGAGTCAAGAGAAGCATTTTTTTCTATAGTGTTTTTTGGATTATCCATTTCATTTATTTTATCTGATCAGCTATAGAGACAACAGAGGAGTCCATAGTGGCTGGTACCCTGCTCCATCCTGATAAACAAGCCATGAAGATCCACACATTCGAAACCGAGAGGAGGAGAAGGGTGTGTGTCTTTGTATCTATGTATTCATGCATGTCTATAACATGTCGGGGGGGGGGTAAAAAAAGTGAATGAATTAACCTTACTGGGAAAGTGTAAGCTCATAGTTTGCCCTGTGGTTGCCTCTGTTGTCCAGGAGGAGGAGCTGGAGAGACAAAAGCAGGAGCAGATAGTCCTGCTACAGGAGTTAGAGGAGAAGAAGAGCAGGCTGGAGCTGCTGCTGCAGGAGGCCCAACAAGAGAGAGAGCAGCTGCAGACGGCCAAGACCCAGGACACCGCCGCTGCATCTGGAACACAGAAAACACCAGCACAGGACGTCAGCCCTGCTGCTCCAACTCCCGAGGTAGGTGGATGTGGGTGGGATTGTGAATACGTGGGATTGTGTGAATGCCTGTGGTTGTGGTGGGATTGTGTGAATGCCTGTGGTTGTGGTGGGATTGTGTGAATACGTGTGGTTGTGGTGGGATTGTGTGAATGCCTGTGGTTGTGGTGGGATTGTGTGAATACATGTGGTTGTGGTGGGATTGTGTGTATGTATCTATCTGAGCCATGATGTAAATCAATAATACCCTGAATTATATTTAAAAATATATTTCATGATGGCTTCTATACTTGAACTGAGCTCTGTGTGTGTGTGTGTGTGTGAGAGAGACATGTAAATCAATATTACCCTGAACTGAAGTATATTTTCAACATATTTCATGATGGTTTCTACACTTGAACTGAGCTCCGTGTGTGTGACTGTGTGTTTCCACATATGCAATAGCGACACTGACTTGTTCTGTGTTTGTTCCTGTGCAGTCTACTGTACCCTCAGCTGCTGAGGATGACCACTCCAGGAGAATCAAAGAGTATCAGCAGCATCTCTTTGACAAGAACAGGTGTGTTTCTCGCAATGGCTGATTCGTATGACGAAATTCAAACATTTAAAAGAGCTGCCTATTGCTGATTTGTGTATCATGTGCACCACAGATATCTTAGGGTGGCAGGTAGCCTAGCGGTTAGCGCGTTGGGCCAGTAACCGAAAGGGCACTGGTTCGAATACCTGAGCCGACAAGGTGAAACATCTGTCTGTGCCTTGAGCAAGGCACTTCATGCTAATTTGCTATGGCTGACCCTATCTGTCCTATGTGACAATAAAAAAACGTCTTTATCTTGTCTTCTGTTATTGTTGTTTTTGGTCATAAAAAAAACAAAAACATTTTTCAATGTTTCAATCTCTTAGGCTTCATAAGCAGTCAGTTGAGGAGGCTCGCAGGCGTCTGGAAGAGTACCAACGCACGCTAAGAAACCGCTACTCTGGTGTAACTACGTCAACACGTCTCCCTCCTGGTACCACAGCCCGTCCGCTACCACACTTTAGAGAAATCATTTCCCCGACAGTGCCCCTGGAACTCCCCTATGGCTCTGCCCTGCTCCCCTGTCTCCCTGTAGCACCTAGTACCCACTCTAGAGCTCACACCCCTCTGGACCTCCCCACACGGGAGCCCTCCATCTTGGCTCAAACTCTCTTCCGTCTTGGCACAGCAGTCGGCTCGCATATTAACTCCAGGACCTCACCAGTGCAGCTAGAACCCACAGCTGAAAGCCTAAGGGACCAAAGAGCAGGTGTTTGGCTGGCAGACAATGTGTTTAGTAGGGTCACAGAGGACCTCCCTGGGAGGCTACCTCCCCCCTCTACCTCGTTGGACCCCCAGTCCTACAGACCACATCCTGTTTCCCCCCACCCTACTCCACACATCCCACTCCCATCAAGAACTGACCCCATCCCAGCCATCAGCCCAATCCTTTCAGAAGAGTCAGCTACTCTCCCTGTGGAGGCCCCGGTGAATCCTGGGCCTGTCCTGCGGGCCCCGGCCAGGTTTGGGGGGGAGGTGGAGAGGCAGGAGCTACGGGAGGCCCAGCGGAGGGTGGAGGCCCAGAGGGAGGTGATCTTTATGCAGCAGAGGGAGCTGGAGGAGGAACAGAGGGAGCGGAGGAGGAGACAGAGGGAGGCGTTACAGCCACTGCTCACTGCTGATGACACACAGGTGAGGAAACAAACACCTCAAGGGTTTTACCTGCTGTTACTAAGGCAGGGCTGCTATTGGTTTAAAATTATAAAAAAAAGTAAGAGTAACACTAACATGTAGAACAAGTAGGTAGCCCAAACATGTAAATTGTGTCAATGAAATTGCATGGATATACTTTGCCTACTGACTATAAAATAGCTGACCAGCCTTTTCTGTGTGTATCTGTGTCTGTCTGTATGTGTCTGTGTGTGGCTCCACCAGCCTGGTCCAGAGACCGCTGATGGTTTGGGGTCAGAGGTCCTGGGGTCAGAGCGTCTCCGTCTGATGGCAGCTCTGCTCAGGGCCATCGAGGAGTCCAATGGGCAAGCCTCACCATCTGTCGAAGCCAATCAGAGCCAAGACGACAAACTCGGCGTCCAGAGTTCACACCCAGACAGACCCGCCCCTCACCCACTCCCCCACCACCACCCCCGGGCAGCCAAACCCCCGGTGGCCCACGCCAGGCTGGCCGTCATGGAGATGATGACAGAGCAGCACGAGCTCAGTGCCATCCAGGAGGTGGAGACGCCAGCCAATGCCAGCCTGATCACAGGTCAGCCAGCCAGCCACACCCACAGGGGGCACCATACACCACACCACACATGGCAGTGGTCAGCTCTGGTAACCACTTGTATACATCCTTCATAAACAAGCGTGTATCTCTAACCTGCTTCTGTGTGTTGTGTCCAGAAGAGAGTGTGACGCTGTTTCGTATTGAAAGGGCAGTCCCAGAAGACCAGGACCGCTCGGCCCACTCTGAGAGAGGTCACTCCGGCACCTCTGTGTCCAGTGCATGGGAACACACAGCTGGGACAGGGACTGGGAGTGAGACAGTAATCGGGTCTGGTAGATCCAGCAAGCTGTCCTGGAGAGAGAGACTACGGCTGGAGGCTGGTGCCTCTCCTGAACCTGGTAAGGAAAGGAAGAAATGGATGAAGGGGAATATGGAGATATCTTATGCCAGGGTGGTTACCACAGACTATAAGAGAGGGGTCCTTTCACTTTTATAAGATTTAGACTGATTGTCATGGAGTCCTCTCAGACATTTTCAGTCACTCTAATCCAACTGTTCTTTGTCCTAGATCCCACCCCAGCGCTCCCAGAACAGTCTTATCACTCCTGTGAGTTTGGGAGAAGTGTCCCTGGCAAATCTCCTACAGAGGTAAGTTTAACCCATGATTTAAGTCTGAGGGTTTTTACTGGTTTTATTTGACTCCCTCTGAGGTCCACCGTATTGTGGGTAAATGATGGGAAGCTGCCAAATCTGAGGGTTTGTGGTCTGTCCTACAAAACCCATGATATTGCTTGAGAAGCTGTTTTTTGTTTTTGTTTGTGAGTGTCTGGGTTTCTGTTTCCTTTCTGAGCGATGATGTAAATCAATATTACCCTGAACTGAAGTATATTTGAAATATATTTCATGATGGTTTTTACACTTGAACTGAGCTCAATGTGTGTGTCCGTGTATCTCTCTCTGTGTGTGTGTGTCTGTCTCTCTCTGTGTGTGTCTGTCTCTCTCTGTGTGTGTGTCCATGTGTCTCTCTCTCTGTGTGTGTGTGTGTGTGTGTGTCTCTGTATCTCTGTGTGAGTGTGTCTGTATTTTCTTTCTGAGCTATGATGTAAATCAATTATTCCTGAAGTATATGTGAAAACATATTTCATGAAGGTTTCTACACTTGAACTGAGCTCTTTCCCACAGTGTTATTTATATACAGTCACTAGGTTATTATACCCTTCCTGTCTAACCCTGGTGTCGTCCACTGTGTTGTGTCCCGGTCATCTGTGTTGTCCAGTTGGAGAGCGTATCCTTACAGTCAGCCCATAGACCCTCAGAACCTGACTACCTGTCCTCCACCACCATCTCCTCTGGCAGCTACGCCACCACTGACCCTGAACACACGTCCACCCAAATAGGTGTGTGACTTGTTTGTAGGCCTAATCAATTGAGTATCTATCCAGTTCAGTCATGTCAGAAATTATACGTGATATATTATAGTTACATTTAAAATGATGGAGATATCTAATCCTCTTCTCTTTTTTCCCCATAAGACTCTTCCCTGCTCTTGGCTGGGTTTGGAATAGGAGGAGGAGGGGGAAAATAAAAAGTCATTGACCAATGGCTCCTTTTCGTCCAGACACAGTTCCTGTAGGGAAGTATCTGGTCCTGGGCCTCCCATCTTAGACTCACTCCTACACAGCAGCAGTATCCAGCGCATTATAGACAAATACACCAGGGAGCTCAACCTTTCTTTCAGTACTGCTGGGAACCAGACGGGTACACACACAATTTGAATCTTTCTTTTTGATTACAGTATCCTATAGTAGTGAATTTCCAAACAGCATCTTCTTACAATTCCCCTTCCTCCTCTAACTTGTCTTCCTCCTCCCATCCAGGTCCCCCTTCGGTGATAGAGGGGTCCGTGTGTGAGGAGCCCAGCTCCTCTGTGTCCGGCAGCAGAAGCCCTGGTCTAAGCTACTGCAGGAGAATGAGGGACCAGACAGGTCACCTGTGTTGGGAGCCGACCCACACTCTCTCCTCTCGGACACAGAGTCAGGAGCTCAGAGGCACAACCAGGTGGGTTCATCCAAACCCTCACACTCGTTATGGGTTCAGAGTAAATACTCAGATGTTATTTTTAGTATCAACATTGACTAATACAAGTTTTTTTTTTTTCTTGTTCAGGAATGGGACAACTCTGTCAACCGGATCATGGATCACCTCTCAGACAAGTCCTCCTCATTGGTTCTGGACAAGGGGCGGGACTCCACTATCAGCCCAATGATTGGCCAGCCCTCGGATAAGTCATCCTCACCGGGCCAAGGGTGGGACTCTACTTTGAGCCGAATGATTGGCCAGCTCTCAGGTCAATCAACCTCACTGGACCAAGGGTGGGATTCGACTTTGAGCAGAATGATTGGCGGGCTCTCCAATCAGTCAACCTCGGTCAGCCAGCTGATTGGTCAAGTGCGACTGGACCAGTCATCCCAGTGGTTGGATGAAGGCCAGGATGAGAGCCAGATGATGAGGCCTCTGGTTAGAGAGCTGGATGAGTCTGCTGCCCAATGGAGTGGGAGCTCAGGTAACCGAGTCAATGAATATGGATGGAATATTACTGTGTGTTGGTTTGTGTTATTGCATGTCTTATTTCAGTGTGCAAGAGCACATTTCTTGCTAATGCTATACTGAAACCTGATTTTAGTTTTTTTCTACATTAGGAGCTGATGGTTCTAACTCCCTAGGCTGGGTGGATCTGAGGGTCTCGGGCCAGACAGGAGTGTCGTCTGTCCCGGAGGGAGCCCCTGAAGCCCAGTCACTGAGCAGCTCTTCTCTCCCTGGGCTGGAGCCTCAGCCACATCCACACTACCAGATACTGCAGCACTCTGGGGCCAAGCTCCCAGGAAGCAGACAGGACTGGGGGTGAGTCTATTAGAGACGTCTTATAATGATGAATCAGAATTCCCTGATTTATTTTTGACCTCATCCTTCATTTCATGCAGCATTCACACTGACCCACCCGCTAACTAGTATTCCCATTTCCCTCATTTGTTGTGATGGTATGGCTGAGGTACTATGTTCTGACTGTTAATAATCTTTTTCACTCTGTTCTGTCTCTCAGTGGATCTAGCCTCCGACTCCTTCCACCCCCTCCTGGCTGAGGTCACTAATAACGAGAAGGCTGAGCCCTCTATTATGACCTTTCACCTCCCAGAGGAGGAAGTGGAGGGGCCATGGAGCTCAGGTAACAGAGTCAATGAACATGGATGGAATATTACTGTGTGTTGGTTTGTGTTATTGCATGTCTTATTTCAGTGTGCAAGAGCACATTTCTTGCTAATGCTATACTGAAACCTGCTTATTTTTATTATTAGGAGCTGATGGTTCTAACTCCCTAGGCTGGGTGGATCTGAGTGGCTCAGGCCAGACAGGAGTGTCGTCTGACCCGGAGGGAGTCCCTGAAGCCCAGTCACTGAGCAGCTCCTCTCTCCCTGGGCTGGAGCCTCAGCCACATCCACACTACCAGATCCTGCAGCACTCTGGGGACAGCTCCCAGGAAGCAGACAGGACTGGGGGTGAGTCTATTAGAGACGTTTTCTAATGATGAATCAGGATTTCCTGATATTTTTTATGACCTCATCCTCCGTTTCCTACATTGACGTTCACCCACCTCCTAACTAGTATTCCCCTTTCCCTCATTTGTTGTTATGTTATGGCTGAGGTACTAGGTTCTGACTATTCATCTTTTTGCTATGTTCTGTCTCTCAGTGGATCCAGCCTCCGACTCCTTCCACCCCCTCCTGGCTGAGGTCACGCACAACGAGACAGCCGAACCCTCCATGACCTTTCACCTTCCAGAAGAGGAAGTTAAGGGGCCATGTTCCCACGACGAAGAAAGTGACCATGAAGCACCTGCAGGGGACCTTGAGTTCTCTGCATGCTCAGAGGAGTTTGAGGATGACACAGACCCCTCCGTCACCTCTGAACCCTCTCCTGAGCGCCTGAGAGGAGGGGAGGAACCACCTCAGTCCTCGCTTGCCGTGCAGGACTCCTTGAACCAGCTGACCACGTCCCAGTGCCTCCCCCATGACTCTGCCCTGGAGGTATCCCCTGGAGCAGAGGAGGTGGGTCTAGCAGCATGTGCCCTCTCAGACCTCTCTCTCTGTGAAGATGTGCCCACTTTGGACATGCCACTTGAAGGAGGGGACACTGATATGGAGAGTACACCAGCACCTCATAGAGTTGACCAAGGAGGTGCTATTACCATTGAGGACCTGGGTGCAGGAGAGCCGGATGCCCAGCTATGTTCAGAGTCAAAGATCAGCCCTCCCACCTGGGAGAGAATAATGGTATGTATTTCATGACATTTCTTTCACTATTCAAATGTTTTTCAGACTTTGGGTCCAGTGAAGGGGTTGTTTATAATGGATGTCACTCGAGAGGCGGGCTTTGAGAAGGAGTCTTCTGTGATGCTATTGGTTGATCTGTGTGATTGATGTCTTTCTCCTCCTCTCTCTTACGAGGTGGGCAGTGTGAAGGGCATAATGGATGAGTCCATGCTGACCCTGGTGAGCCTGACAGACACCACACTACAGGACCAGGAACTCACTGAGGAAGAGGAAGGAGAGACTGAGGTATCAGAGCAAGAAGACGCTGAGAAAGAAGGCATTGTGGAAAAGGTGACTGCCCAATGACCAGAGGAATCTGTGAAGACTGAGTAACTGAATCTTGGCTGTAACTTCCTCCGCTGCATGCATTTTGTTGGGTAGTCTCTGACCTTGGTGTGATGTTTTCTAGGAATCAGAGTCGACAGTGTTGCCAGAGGACACCAGCCTACAGGAGGAAGAGACAACCCCCTCTCATGCAGGTGAGAACCAGAAGACCTGCAACTTCTCTGGCTCCTACTCTTCTCTCTTTCCTTCTCTGAATCCTTTCTTGGTCTGTACAGGTTCCTGGAGTGCTTTATGTACATACGTGAATCCTTGTTTATACTTGTTTTTTTTCTCTTTCCATGGCAAGTGATGCTGCTGGAGTTCCAGTCATGTCCCAGCGTGAATCTACAGGAGGCCTTCCAGCAGAAACGCAGAGCCCTGATCCAGAGGTCTGCCCGCAGGGTGGAGGAGATTCAAGCCAAGAGGGCTGAAGCCAGAGCCAAAGCAAACACCAGGGCCCAGTCTGACACCACTGAGACCAGGGCCAACACAACCACCAGGGCCCAGTCTGACCCAACCACTGTTCAGTCATCCACAACTAAACCCAGGAGAGAGGGGAGGAGTGCAGAGTCAACCCATGCACGAGGGGATGCCAAGCAGAAAAAGCAACAGCCAAAGTCCCAAACTCCCTTGCAGCCTCCCATGCTAGGTAACAATAGAATAGACTAAAATAAGTATAATATTGTGTTAACAACCAACCAACACATGGAAACTCTTGAGGAAGGAAAGTGGGGTTAGTAATGGGTCAAACACTCGGTCTTAGGTGTTGTAGAGTGTTACTGAACCGAGTCCTCCTCTCTTTGTTCCTCGGTGAGTGAAGCCAAGCTGAAGAAGGTTGGGGAGGTGAGGATCAGCACTCCTGAGATGAGGAAACAGGACGTGACTGAGATGCACCAGAGAACAGAGAGGTAACAAGTTCTTTCTATTCTGCTGGAACAAGACCCAACCACATTAACATGATCTGATATCCTACTCTGGTACCTAAGATGTTTTTGTTCAGCGGCACGTTTCTCTCATGACCTCGCTCTTGGTTGTGTCTCTGCAGGTTGTACAGCCGACTAGATGAGGTGAAGCTTCAGAAGGAGGTCAGGAGCAGACAGGAGGCATATGCCAAAAACAGGGAGAAGGCCAAAGAGTTTCACAAGGTAACATTTTAAAATACCCCAATGTTTAAATGAATTAAATATGATATTGGTAGAGCATGGCGCTTGCAGTGACAGGGTTGTGTGTTCCCACGGGGGACCAGTACGAATAAAGTATTAAAATGTATGCACTCACTACTGTAAGTCGCTCTGGATAAGAGCGTCTGCTAAATGGCTAAAATGTAAATGTCAAATTATATTAAATTAATTGAAAGTTGAAGTTGATTGATGTACATCAACATTAGTCCTTTTGAATTATGTTTTTTCTCTTTACAGAAAACCTTACAGAAGCTACGGGCCAAGCAGTCTTACAATTGATCTTCAATATCATTGCTATCTGTTGTCATGTGTGTTTGCACGTATTTTGTACTTGTATTTTTGTACAGTTTGTAATCAGTAATTTAAAAGATCATATTTGTAATAAAGTGTACACTACCGTTCATAAGTTTGGGGTCACTTAGAAATGTCCTTGTTTTCGAAAGAAAAGCAAAAAAAATTGTCCATTTAAAATAACATCAAATTGATCAGAAATACAGTGAAGACAATGTTGTAAATGGCTATTGTAGCTGGAAACAGCTGATTTTTAAGGGAATATCTACATAGGTGTACAGAGGCCCATTATCAGCAACCATCAGTCCTGTGTTCTAATGGCACGTTGTGTTTGCTAATCCAAGTTTATTACAGGCTCAAAATGGCCAGAAACAAATAATTATCTTCTGAAACTCGTCAGTCTATTCTTGTTCTGAGAAATGAAGGCTATTCCATGCGAGAAATTGCCAAGAAACTGAAGATCTCGTACAACGCTGTGTACTACTCCCTTCACAGAACAGAGCAAACTGGCTCTAACCAGAATAGAAAGAGGAGTGGGAGGCCCCGGTGCACAACTGAGCAAGAGGACAAATACATTAGTGTCTAGTTTGAGAAACAGATGCCTCACAGGTCCTCAACTGGCAGCTTCATTAAATAGTACCCGCAAAACACCAGTCTCAACGTCAACAGTGAAGAGGCGACTCCGGGATGCTGACCTTCTAGGCCGAGTTGCAAAGAAAAAGCCATATCTCAGACTGGCCAATAAAAAGAAAATATTAAGATGGGCAAAATAACACAGACACTGGACCGAGGAAGATTGGAAAAAAGTGTTATGGACAGACGAATCGAAGTTTGAGGTGTTCGGATCCCAAAGAAGAACATTTGTGAGACGCAGACCAAATGAAAAGATGCTGGAGGAGTGCTTGATGCCATCTGTCAAGCATGGTGGAGGCAATGTGATGGTCTGGGGGTGCTTTGGTGGTGGTGGTAAAGTGGGAGATTTGTGCAGGGTAAAAGGGATCTTGAAGAAGGAAGGCTATCACTCCATTTTGCAACGCCATGCCATACCCTGTGGACGGCGCTTGATTGGAGCCAATTTCCTCCTACAACAGGACAATGACCCAAAGCACAGCTCCAAACTATGCAATAACTATTTAGGGAAGAAGCAGTCAGCTGGTATTCTGTCTATAATGGAGTGGCCAGCACAGTCACCGGATCTCAACCCTATTGAGATGTTGTGGGAGCAGCTTGACTGTATGGTATGTAAGAAGTGCCCATCTAGCCAATCCAACTTGTGGGAGGTGCTTCAGGAAGCATGGGGTGAAATTTCTTCAGATTACCTCAAGAAATTGACAACTAGAATGCCAAAGGTCTGCAAGGCTGTAATTGCTGCAAATGGAGGATTCTTTGACGAAAGCAAAGTTTGAAGGACACAATTATTATTTCTATTAAAAATCATTATTGCTAACCTTGTCAATGACTACATTTCCTATGCATTTTGCTATATTTCCTATTCAAACTCATTTCATGTATGTTTTCATGGAAAACAAGGACATTTCGAAGTGATCCCAAACTTTTGAACGGTAGTGTATATATAAATACATATATATATATATATATATATATATATATTATTTGATCACCTACCAACCAGTAAGAATTCAGGCTCTCACAGACCTGTTTAGTTTTTCTTTAAGAAGCCCTCCTATCCTCCACTCATTACCTGTATTAACTGCACCTGTTTGAACTCGTTACCTGTATAAAAGACACCTGTCCACACACTCAATCAAACAGACTCCAACCTCTCCACAATGGCCAAGACCAGAGAGCTGTGTAAGGACATCAGGGATAAATGTGTAGTCCTGCACAAGGCTGGGATGGGCTACAGGACAATAGGCAAGCAGCTTGGTGAGAAGGCAACAACTGTTGGCACAATTATTAGAAAATTGAAGAAGTTCAAGATGACGGTCAATCACCCTCGGTCTGGGGCTCCATGCAAGATCTCACCTCGTGGGGCATCAATGATCATGAGGAAGGTGAGGGATCAGCCCAGAACTACACGGCAGGACCTGGTCAATGACCTGAAGAAAGCTGGGACCACAGTCTCAAAGAAAACCATTAGTAACACACTACGCCGTCATGGATTAAAATCCTGCAGCGCACGCAAGGTCCCCCTGCTCAAGCCAGCGCATGTCCAGGCCCGTCTGAAGTTTGCCAATGACCTTCTGGATGATCCAGAGGAGGAATGGGAGAAGGTCATGTGGTCTGATGAGACAAAAATATAGCTTTTTTGTCTAAACTCCACTTGCCATGTTTGGAGGAAGAAGAAGGATGAGTACAACCCCAAGAACACCATCCCAACCGTGAAGCATGGAGGTAGAAACATCATTCTTTGGGGATGCTTTTCTGCAAAGGGGACAGGATGACTGCACCGTATTGAGGGAAGGATGGATGGGGCCATGTATCGCGAGATCTTGGCCAACAACCTCCTTCCCTCAGTAAGAGCATTGAAGATGGGTCGTGGCTGGGTCTTGCAGCATGACAACGACCCGAAACACACAGCCAGGGCAACTAAGGAGTGGCTCCGTAAGAAGCATCTCAAGGTCCTGGAGTGGCATAGCCAGTCTCCAGACCTGAACCCAATAGAAAATCTTTGGAGGGAGCTGAAAGTCCATATTGCCCAGCGACAGCCCCGAAACCTGAAGGATCTGGAGAAGGTCTGTATGGAGGAGTGGGCCAAAATCCCAGCTGCAGTGTGTGCAAACCTGGTCAAGACCTACAGGAAACGTATGATCTCTGTAATTGCAAACCAAGGTTTCTGTACCAAATATTAAGTTCTGCTTTTCTGATGTATCAAATACTTATGTCATGCAATAAAATGCAAATTAATTACTTAAAAATCATACAATGTGATTTTCTGGATTTTTGTTTCAGATTCCGTCTCTCACAGTTGAAGTGTACCTATGATAAAAATTACAGACCTCTACATGCTTTGTAAGTAGGAAAACCTGCAACATCGGCAGTGTATCAAATACTTGTTCTCCCCACTGTATATATATATATATATACATATCTTTAAAAATATATACATTTCCCTTTATTACTTTCCAACCCCACCACCCCTCCCCTAATTGGAGTAAACTAGTGAACAACAACGCTTAGGCCTCTACTTCCAGCTTATAAACATTTTATGGACACAGTCAATTTTACAATAATTCTATTTTGTTTGTTTTTACTTCCGAACTTCCTCTACCCTCAACCTCTCTGATCATTTTCATGATGTCCATCCGGTTTGCTTCTATATGCCATATCTTTCTAACTGTGTTCTTTCACAAAAGCTCTCAACCTATAACCTATATACTTATTATGGACACAGTATGCTTTACATTAGTTATCTCATTGTTGATATGAGTGAAGCCTTGGTGGGGGTCCAAGGATAGGGCCAGGTTTATCATTTTAAAAGGCTAATGGATCATTAGAAAACCCTTTTGCAATTATGTTAGCACAGCTGAAACTGTTGTATTGATTAAATAAGTATCTGGAGCATCAGCAATTGTGGGTTCGATTACAAGCTCAAAATGGCCAGAAACAAATAACTTTCTTCTGAAACTCGTCAGTCTATTCTTGTTCTGAGAAATGAAGGCTATTCCATGTGAGAAATTGCCAAGAAACTGAAGATCTCGTACAATGCTGTGTACTACTCCCTTCACAGAACAGCGCAAACTGGCTCTAACCAGAATAGAAAGAGGAGTGGGAGGCCCCGGCGCACAACTGAGCAAGAGGACAAATACATTTGAGTGTGTAGTTTGAGAAACAGACGCCTCACAGGTCCTCAACTGGCGGCTTCATTAAATAGTACCCGCAAAACCAGTCTCAACGTCAACAGTGAAGAGGTGACTCTGGGATGCTGACCTTCTAGGCCATTGGAACACAGGACTGATGGTTGCTGATAATGGGCCTCTGTATGCCTATGTAGATATTCCATAAAAAATCATCTGCCGTTTCCAGCTACAATAGCCATTTACATGTCTACACTGTATTTCTGATCAAGTTGATGTTATTTTAATGGACAAAAAAAATGCCTTTCTTTTGAAAGCAAGAACATTTCGAAGTGACCCCAAACTTTTGAACTGTAGTGTATATCCATAAATCAGTGTTCAGTCTATTCATCACTATGTTCACACAACAAAAGCAACCAGTGCACTATTACACCATGTATACTGTAGGTACACACATTGCATTATGAGAATGTTATGTTTGCTGCTGCTTTTGCAAATCCTTATAAGTTTAATTATGGCAGGCCCCTTGAACTGAAAAGAAGGGATAAATTCTCACACGAAATAAAGGCCTCCCGCCATTTTTAACTGGTGATAAACTAGGGCGTATTCATTACGCCGATTCTGTTGCAAAACATTTATCAAACGGAACGAAACGGGGAGGGGCCTACCTGAATTTGTCCCATAAAACATAGTTTCTCTATGTTAACTAACGTTTGTTTTGCTTTATCTTGGCCCAGGTCGCAGTTGTAAATGAGAACTTGTTCTCAACTGGCCTACCTGGTTAAATAAAGGTTAAATAAATAAAATTGGTTCTTAAACGGTTTCCTTAATGAATACGCCCCAACGCGAGGCAGTTGCAATTTGCGCCAGTCCGCCAGCTGTGGCCTTTGTGATTTTATGAGGCGGTGTCCGAGGGCTGTTGATATGAGAGGAAGCTGTGAAGACGCGTCGCTATAGAAACAAGTGCAGGAAGTAGCTGCGGGCGATTTCTGGTAAGTAGTGTTCTCTGCGATCAGGACTGTTTTGATACATATTTTAGGCTTTTATATTACTGAATTGTGGTGCATGTGTTGGTTTTCACATTAGGTCGTTTTGCGGTTGCTGGGCTCATTTTTAGACTTAAGCTAATGTTAACGTTAGCTTGCGACTAGCTTTAGCCAATACGGTCATTACTGTGATTTAGCTACTATCGACGTCGGTTCAAATGTTGCACGGACGGGACGATTGATTCTGTCTTGATACTGCCAACTTGATGTTTGTTAGCAAGCACGCTAACTACGTTAGTTCTATACCTTAACAAGCCATCGAATTTGTTTACCTACTTGTCAAACTATCACTATCATATGCATTTTACTAAAGTAAAGATGTTCGTCATCGAACATGTGGACATCATATGCGCATCTTGATGTTGTGGCCGTTCTCTACCCCCTTCCGCTCACCAGTAATGTCCCGCTCAGTAATCCAGCCCCTGAGTGCAGGGGCCACTGCCCCAGAGGCGTTGTCCCTGCTACACCAGCGCCTCTTGGTGGCAGAGGAGCAGGCAGAGGCTCTAATCAGAGATATGGGCAGTCTGGGAGTGTCTAGAGAGCAGCTCCTGGAGCCCGTGGAGAGGGACACCATCCAGCGTCCCATTAGCCCCCTGAAGATGCACCGTGCCCTAAGAGAGCCCGGAGGAGAAGGGCTACTGTGGCGCCAGTGTGATGGGCTAGTGAGCAGGGTATGTCGCATGGAAAGCCTCCTGCAGACCCTCAAGCTCACCACCTTTCGCTTGGAGACTGAGAGAGACCTGGATCCCTCACACTCAGGTAATGGCTTTGACAACCTGAATCAAAACAATGTCACAATAAACACATTAGGGAAGCCTGTAAGTTTCTCTTTTGCTAATGGCTTGTCAACACCATTTACATTTACATTTTAGTCATTTAGCAGACGCTCTTATCCAGAGCGACTTACAGTTAGTGAGTGCATACATTATTTTATTTTTCATACTGGCCCCCCGTGGGAATCGAACCCACAACCCTGGAGTTGCAAACGCCATGCTCTACCAACTGGGCTACATCCCTGCCGGCCATTCCCCTCCCCTACCCTGGACGACGCTGGGCCAATTGTGCGCCGCCCCATGGGTCTCCCGGTCGCGGCCGGCTACGACAGAGCCTGGATTCGAACCAGGATCTCTAGTAGCACAGCCTTAGACCACTGCGCCACTCGGGAGTAGGCATGTTCTATACAGTATTCAGGACAACATTACTCTATTTAGCATACACCGTGACTATGACTGCATAATAGACTAACCTAAAAATACACATTATTTTCTAATAAATGTGTTAACAGGGGAATATACAGTGGGTGAAAACAGTATTTAGTCAGCCACCAATTGTGCAAGTTCTCCCACTTAAAAAGACGAGAGGCCTGCAACTTTCATCATAGGTACACGTCAACTATGACAGACAAAATGAGAAAACAAAATCCAGAAAATCACATTGTAGGACTTTCAATGAATTTATTTGCAAATTATGGTGGAAAATAAGTATTTGGTCAATAACAAAAGTTTCTCAATACTTTGTTATATACCCTTTGTTGGCAATGACACAGGTCAAACGTTTTCTGTAAGTCTTCACAAGGTTTTCACACACTGTTGCTGGTATTTTGGCCCATTCCTCCATGCAGATCTCCTCTAGAGCAGTGATGTTTTGGGGCTGTCACTGGGCAACACAGACTTTCAACTCCCTCCAAAGATTTTCTATGGGGTTGAGATCTGGAGACTGGCTAGGCCACTCCAGGACCTTGCCCGGGCGGTGTGTTTGGGATCATTGTCATGCTGAAAGACCCAGCCACATTTCATCTTCAATGCCCTTGCTGATGGAAGGAGGTTTTCACTCAAAATCTCACGATACATGGCCCCATTCATTCTTTCCTTTACACGGATCAGTCGTCCTGGTCCCTTTGCAGAAAAACAGCCCCAAAGTATGATGTTTCCACCCCCATGCTTCACAGTAGGTATGGTGTTATTTGGATGCAACAACACCAGTCTGTCCCTTTCTGGCTCGATCAGTCTGTCTCTTATTTCCTATCCACATCTGTCCCTCTGTCTGCCTGTGCAGCCCGTCTGAAGGAGCAGCTGTCTGCGCTGCAGCAGGAGAGTGATGAGGAGCAGCGGGTCTCCAGAAGGGAAGTGATGCGGCTGAGGGACCTGCTCCGCCAGGCCTGCCTGGACCGGGATGAGTCCCGGGGGGAGGTGCAGAGACTGGGGGAGGCCCTGGAGGTCGCCACCACCTCAAAGGTACACGGACCCACCACATCCCATCTCTCATCAACACACACAGTCTTTATGTCAGAGTTTACCCACCTTTTATTTACTAATACAACCCTGATGATGAGTATATGGCAAATATAGCCATTTTCTGATATTTAGATAATAACCCTATAAGTTCTGGTACTGTTGTTGCAGATGGATGTGGCTCTGGCTGCAGAGGAGCTGAAGGTGGTCAAAGTCCAAATGAGTGAGAAGCTGCTGCAGGTGCGGTCACTGTAGGGGCATCATGGGACAAGGTGGTGGAGTAGGGGATGTCACATGGGCCATCTGACAGAGAAGGGAGTACATTACTTTTGATCTACCTGTTTACCTAAACAAAACAGCCCTTCAACTCTAATGACCCCTAACTTTTTTTAGCTGAAGGATCAGATGTCCCAGGAGTCTGCTCGGTCTTTTGAGAACGAGAAATCCCACAGTGCACTACTTCAGAGGGTGGAGGAGATGGAGATAGTGGTGGAGATGGAGAGAAGACAGGTAGAGTAGGTGTGAAGTAATACAAGTTGAGGAAAAAAGAGAGAAAGAAAACAGAACCATTGATATCCTGTCCCTCTCTGACCCCAGGCCCAGATAGTGCAGGCAGACTGCCATGCCCTGCGTTCTGATGGACAGGCCACCAGACAGAGACTACAAGAGGAGAAGGACAGAGGCCACAGGCTGCAGGAGCAGTGTGAGCAGCTCAAAGGGCAGGCAGGTCAGCAACACTGCATTGTGGGAGTTTAAGTTTCTCAGGATGTTTTCATATTCTGCTGTACAGTGTGGTCCCATTATTTGATGTGTTAGTGTTCCTGAATCACATAGATTTCATATGGACAATGAAATGGTTGATCTCTTCATCCATTTACAGAGGTGAAAGATTCCCTTGTTTTGGAGTTGACAGGTGAACTAAAAGTAAGTGCCAGCACTTTGTTCCTCTAGTATTGCTCCTCTATAACCCTGTGATATCAATCAACTGTGTTGAGTGTGTGTACCTGAATGTGTATTGTGTATGCAGAGTGTGTGTTAATTAGTGTGTATTGTGTATGCAGAGTGCGTGTTAATTCGTGTGTATTGTGTATGCAGAGTGCGTGTTAATTAGTGTGTATTGTGTATGCAGAGTGCGTGTTAATTAGTGTGTATTGTGTATGCAGAGTGCGTGTTAATTAGTGTGTATTGTGTATGCAGAGTGCGTGTTAATTAGTGTGTATTGTGTATGCAGAGTGCGTGTTAATTAGTGTGTATTGTGTATGCAGAGTGCGTGTTAATTAGTGTGTATTGTGTATGCAGAGTGCGTGTTAATTAGTGTGTATTGTGTATGCAGAGTGCGTGTTAATTAGTGTGTATTGTGTATGCAGAGTGCGTGTTAATTAGTGTGTATTGTGTATGCAGAGTGCGTGTTAATTAGTGTGTATTGTGTATGCAGAGTGTGTGTTAATTAGTGTGTATTGTGTATGCAGAGTGCGTGTTAATTAGTGTGTATTGTGTATGCAGAGTGCGTGTTAATTAGTGTGTATTGTGTATGCAGTGTGCGTGTTAATTAGTGTGTATTGTGTATGCAGAGTGCGTGTTAATTAGTGTGTATTGTGTATGCAGAGTGCGTGTTAATTAGTGTGTATTGTGTATGCAGAGTGTGTGTTAATTAGTGTGTATTGTGTATGCAGAGTGCGTGTTAATTAGTGTGTATTGTGTATGCAGAGTGCACGGCTAGCCCTGCAGAGGCAGCAGCAAGAGAACAGCAGGTTACTGAGAGATGGAGGAGATCTGAGGACTGCAGCTGACAAAGTCCAAGTCAGTGGCCCACCTCAGAATATACATACTATACATTAAAGACCATTATTGTCACGTTCGTTCAATGACGGGTCAGACCAAGGCGCAGCGTGATATGCGTACATGTTTATTCAACTTAATAAACAAGAAACGAAACGTGAAGTCCTAAGGTAGACGCACAACAAACCTTAACCGGAACAAGATCCCACAACTCAACAGTGCCAATAGGCTGCCTAAGTATGATCCCCAATCAGAGACAACGAGCGACAGCTGCCTCTGATTGGGAACCACACCGGCCAACATAGATCTAAACATACTAGAATGACAACCATAGAATATACACACACAGAATATACACACCCTGACTCAACATATACGAGTCCCCTGAGTCAGGGCGTGACAATTATTTGTATTTGTATTTATTATGGATCCCCTTGGCAGCAGCCACTCTTCCTGGGGTCCAGCAAAATTAAGGCAGTTATACATTTTTAAAAACATTACAATACATTCACAACAGATTTCACAACATATTAAGTGTGCGCCCTCAGGCCCCTACTCTACTACCACATATCTACAACACAAAATCCATGTGTACGTGTGTATAGTGTGTATGTTATCATGTGTTTGTATGCGTGTGTCTTTGCCTATGTTTGTGTTGCTTCACAGTCCCCGCTGTTCAATAAGGTGTACTTTTATCTGTTTTTTAAATCAAATTTGACTGCTTGCATGAGTTACATGATGTGGAATAGAGTTCCATGTAGTCATGGCTCTATGTAGTACTGTGCACCTCCCATAGTCTGTTCTGGCCTCTGGTGGCATGTCTTGTGGGGTATGCATGGGCGTCCGAGCTGTGTGCCAGTAGTTCAAACAGACAGCTCGGTGCATTCAACATGTCAATACCTCTCACAAATACAAGTAGTGACGAAGTCAATCTCTCCTCCAATTGTTGAATACTTATTTCTTATTGGCTTGAAGGGCATTCTAGAGCGTGCATTATTTCCCAATAACGCACAGTATATTTGCACGGTATAATTCAATGGCTGTAGTTCATTCTTACATGTTCTATGTTTGAGCTGCTTTTGAAAGCAAAAGTCGAATTGAAAACATTATTGGCGTTGTTGAATCCGATTTTCATAATGGCAATCTAGGACTGATGGTTTGGTTAGCTAGCTAAACTAGCAAGTCTGTTTGGTTACCATGGCAACTACTATAGCTATCTAGTAAACTTTCTAGCTATTTCAGTGGATGTTGAACACATTTCTACTGGCAAATTAACACATTTCTAGCAGTAATGTGGTAAATTATAGCCATGGTATAAAAGGGATAATCAACTTGGGACTCTATGCATTCTCTGGAAAATAATGCAACTCTGTGAACACACCTTCCACGTCGTTCATTATTTTCCATAGAATGCGTAGCCCCTCGTTGACTATCGCTTATTTATTTAACAATAGATTGCTGTATATTTCTAAGACCATGTGTTTACCACTGTCGTGGTAATTAGTCTAATCAAAGGAGAGACTTTTAGATTTCTTCAAAACCATCAAACTTTATTAATAATTACTGCAGTAATGGAGCGTTAACGGTCACCCAATGGTGTAGAGTTAAGGCCCAAATAAGCAGGGTTAGGTTACAACTCTTTATAGTCTTTCTGAGTCCTCGTGACATAGAACAGATTTGTGAAATTATACAAAGGTACATTGTGCTCTCATGCAACAGATAGCGAGATTTACATGGCGCCAAATATCTGTCTATAGGTCATTTACTACTTGTTTATACAGAAATACTAATGCAGCATGGGACACTAGGTCCTTCCCTGAATTGATGAAGTCCAGTGTTGGTTAATAACCTGGAGGGAGGGTTCTCCTCACCCTGGCAGTCCAGTGTTGGTTAATAACCTGGAGGGAGGGTTCTCCTCACCCTGGCAGACAGACCAGCATTTCACGCAGACACTACTCATGGATTGGAATGTTGTCTTATCACCAAGCCATCGTAAATCTACTGCAGCGTTAAGCCTCAGAGGCTCCTCTCGGAAGAACAGACATTGTGAAAGTACTAATGTATAGAAATACATTCTAATATAAAAGTAATGTGATCAACATAATGTTGTAATTCTACCATGCCACTTAATCATGTATAGATCTCAGGAATAAATGGTGACATTTTGCTCTCTCATTCCCTGTCACAGGCGTTTAACAACCAGTTGGATAGTCAGTGCTCTGAGTTGAGTTCTGCCCTACGTTCTCTTACTGTGGAGAAATCCAAGCTACAGACTGAACACCAGGCTAGCATTAAGGTACTGCCTCTAGCCCTCTTCACACACACACACACACACACACACACACACACACACACACACACACACACACACACACACACACACACACACACACACACACACACACACACACACACACACACACACACACACACTAGTACAGGCTACATGTTATTCTGTTCCTGTGTCTCTCTCAGGCAGAGAGGAGTCGTGTGGCCAAGCAGCTGCAGGAGCAAGACCTCCTGCTGGATGCAGCCAGACGCAACATCCAGGCAGAACTGCAGGGGGCGCTATCAGCTAAAGTTAAATTGCAGATGGAACTGTGGGTGCTAAAGCTAACTGCTAATACTCATAGGCATGAATAGGATCTCAATGATAATGCTAGCCACACACATCCACCAACAACAGCCCCTGTCTTTCTGCTCCACAGGGAGACTCTGAAGGTTGACCATGCCCAACTTCTGCAGAGTTCCACGGTTGCCCAAGAGACAGTTGTCACTCAGCGGGAGCTGTTGGAGTGTACCATTGAGAGGCTGCGGGGGGATCTGAACTCTGCTGTAAAGGAAAGGGAGGTTGTGAGGACAGACAGGGACAGTGCAAAGACTGAGGTGCAGCTGCCATCTCACTTAGAAAATACATAGCCTAAGAGTACAAGGTTGTTAAAGCTTAACTGTGCTTTGCATTGTCTCTTTTTATAGTGTCTGTGGATGTCCTTAAATGTTATGCCCCTATCTCTCTGTCTTTGGGTCATAGATGTGCATTGTGGTCACCAAGCTAGAGGGTGAGAGGAGTGCTTTGGAAACACAACTCACTAAAGTCAAGGTACTGTACTGCCAACGATCTCTGATGATCGCTGACAGCGATTGACTGATCTCAGACCTGTATGTAAAGGACCTCCGCATTCACAGTGAACACACTTCTTGTCCGAATCCGACCATAGCTTCCTTAACTGTCCACTTTGCATCCTGTGTGATTGACAGCTGGAGGCAGGCACTCTGAGCTCCACCTTGCAGAAGCAGGAGGAAGAGAACAGGAGGCTCATGGGAAAGCTGGCTGCCATGGAGCATCAGCAGGTGAGAGATTCATTCAGTATCTAGAGATTGGCGTCACATCACTTTAAATCTGTCCATCCATAGTGAATGTGTGTTTGTATGTAACATACTTTCTCCATTATTTTCTTTCTCCATCCTGAACGTTAACTCTCAACGCGTGGTGTCCTCTTTACCCAGAATGCTCAGCAGCAGGTGGAACAGATGCTGAAGGAGTTGACGGACAGTAAGAACAACCTGGCCTATGAGAAAGGGAAGCTACAGGTAAGGAGTTTACACTAAAACCAGTGGTGGAAAAAGTACCCAATTGTCATACTTGAGTAAAAGTAAAGATACCTTAATAGAAAATGACTCAAGTAAAAGTGAAAGTCACCCAGTAAAATACTACTGGAGTAGAAGTCTAAAAGTATTTGATTTTAAATATACTAAGTATCAATAGCAAATGTAATTGCTCAAATATATTTCAGTATCAAAAGTAAAAGCATAAATATTTTCAAATTCCTTATATTAAGCAAACCCGACGGTACGATTTTCTTGTTTTTTTAAATTTACGGATAGCCAGGGGCACACTTCAACACTCAGACATAATTTACAAACAAAGCATGTATGTTTAGTGAGTCCGCGAGATCAGAGGCAGTAGGGATGACCAGGGATGTTCTCTTGATAAGTGCATGAATTGGACCATTTTCCTGTCCTGCTAAGCATTCAAAATGTAACGAGTACTTTTGCGTGTCAGGGAAAATGAATGGAGTAAAAAGTACATTATTTTCTTTAGGAATGTAGTGGAGGAAAAGTAGTCAAAAATAGAAATAGTAAAGTACAGATACCCCCAAAAATGACTTAAATAGTACTTTAAAGTATACACCACTGACTAAAACACACCGGCCATACCTCTTAATATGTGTGTGTTCATGTATCCTCATGTTGAAGTGTATTTCCTCCTAATGCTCTTCCTCTCAACCAGACCAGGGTAGATCAACTTCAGGAGGAGCTGCAAGCTTTAAGGGACAACCATGTAGAACGTGTCCAACAATGCAAGCTGAGCTCTGTGTTTGTGAACAAGTACACACAGGTACACACACTCATGGTAGTAATGTATTCATGTGGTAATGTAGTAATGTGTTCATATGTCAAAAACAAGGCGACTCCCTAACATACACCTGTCTACTCCCGTACAGGTCAGCTCTGAAATTAGCACCCCGAAGACAACCTGTCTTAAACTGGAGGCTCAGCTCAGACAGGCCCAGGCTGCAGTCCAGGTGAAGGAGTGGGAGGTGGCGTCGGCGGTGGCAGCCAGAGACGAGGCTCTGAGGGACAGCCAGGCCCTGAGGGGACAACTGGACAAACTGCAGGAGCAGCACAGGGACAAGGTCAGAGGGCTAGTAAAATGGTTACCCAACCTGGGTCCTGGAGAGCTACAGGGTGTCTGCAGGCTTTTGTTCCAGCCCAGCACAAACCCACCTGATTCTGCTCTGTGTGTTTGTCCTGTAGCTGTGTGAGCTGGAGGGCTGGCTGGGTGTGTCTCGTCAGGGTGGGGGCAGTGTGGCTCAGACCCTGGAGAACGTTTTGGCCTCCCACTCCCGTCTGCAACACAACACTGAGACGGTACAGAAGGAGCTGGGGAGACGAGAGCAGGAGCTGGCCTTACTCAGGAGAGACAGGTAGGTGTGTGTCTGTGTTGTGCATGTACAGTTGAAGTCGGAAGTTTACATACACTTAGGTTGGAGTCATTAAAACCCGTTAGTCAACCACTCCACAAATGTATTGTTAACAAACTATAGTTTTGGCAAGTCGGTTAGGACATCTAGTTTGTGCATGACACAAGCAATTTTTCCAACAATTGTTTACAGACAGATTATTTCACTTATAATTCACTGTATCACAATTCCAGTGGGTCAGAAGTTTACATACACTAAGTTGACTGTGCCTTTAAACAGCTTGGAAAATTCCAGAAAATGATGTCATGGCTTTAGAAGCTTCTGATAGGCTAATTGACATCATTTGAGTCAATTGGAGGTGTACCTGTGGATGTATTTCAAGGCCTACCTTCAAATGTAGTGCATCTTTGCTTGACATCATGGGAAAATCTAAAGAAATCAGCCAAAACCTCAGAAAAACAATTGTAGACATCCACAAGTCTGGTTCATCCTTGGGAGCAATTTCCAAACGCCTTAAGGTACCACGTTCATCTGTACAAACAATAGTACGCAAGTATAAACACCATGGGACCACGCATCCGTCATACCGCTCAGGAAGGAGACGCGTTCTGTCTCCTAGAGATGAACGTACTTTGGTGCGAAAAGTGCAAATCAATCCCAGAACAACAGCAAAGGACCTTGTGAAGATGCTGGAGGAAACGGGTACAAAAGTATCTATATCCATAGTAAAATGAGTCCTATATCGACATAACCTGAAAGGCCGCTCAGCAAGGAAGAAGCCACTGCTCCAAAACCGCCATAAAAAAGCCAGACTACGGTTTGCAACTGCACATTGGGACAAAGATCGTACTTTTTGGGGAAATGTCCTCTGGTCTGATGAAACAAAAATAGAACGGTTTGGCCATAATGACCATTGTTATGTTTGGAGGAAAAAGGGAGTAGCTTGCAAGCCGAAGAACACCATCCCAACCGTGAAGCACGGGGGTGGTAGCATCATGCTGTGGGGGTGCTTTGCTGCAGGAGGGACTGGTGCACTTCACAAAATAGATGGCATCATGAGGAAGGAAAATTATGTGGATATATTGAAGCAACATCTCGAAGACATCAGTCAGGAAGTTAAAGCTTGGTCGCAAATGGATCTTCCAAATGGACAATGACCCCAAGCATACTTCCAAAGTTGTGGCAAAATGGCTTAAGGACAACCAAGTCAAGGTATTGGAGTGGCCATCACAAAGCCCTGACCTCAATCCTATAGAAAATGTGTGGGCAGAACTGAAAAAGCATGTGTGCGAGCAAGGAGGCCTACAAACCTGACTCAGTTACACCAGCTCTGTCAGGAGGAATGGGTTTATTGTGGGAAGCTTGTGGAAGGCTACCTGAAACGTTTGACCCAAGTTAAACTATTTAAAGGCAATGCTACCAAATACTAATTGAGTGTATGTAAACTTCTGACCCACTGGGAATGTGATGAAAGAAATAAAAGCTGAAATAAATCATTCTCTCTACTATTATTCTGACATTTCAAATTCTTAAAAGAAAGTGGTGATCCTAACTGACCTAAGGCAGGGAAATTTTACTAGGATTAAATGTCAGGAATTGTGAAAAACTGAGTTTAAATGTATTTGGCTAAGGTATATGTAAACTTCCGACTTCAACTGTATGTGGGTGTATGTTTGAGCAACCCATGTGTTTGCCAGACTGCAGGGTCAGAGAGAGATTCAGAGGCTACAGGCAGAGGTGGAGAAGCTCCAAGATATCATGGCAACAACTAATGCCAAGAAAAACAAAATGGTAACTACTTCATTAATGAGTTATAAACACACATTCACGCATATACCCACAAACAGCTTTTAGCTTTTAGTAGTAATAGTAGTTTACAAAGATATGTTTGATTGTCTAGCTGGAGCCCTTGCGTAAGGCCCTGGATGTGGCAAGGCAGGACAACAAGAAACTAGCCCAAAGTTTAGAGCAGGCTGTGTTGGCCAACAGCACTCTGCAGTCCAACCTGGACCGAGCCAGAGACCAACACCAGAGCACCAACACACAGAGGTAACTAACTGGGACTAATGTGGATAGTGGGAGTTTATTTTAGTGTGGTTTAAATATGTGAAAGCGTACATGGTTACTTTGCATGAATGTGACATTCATGTCTACATTTTGCATGTGTATCAGAGAGGCGGAGCTGGCTGAGGCCAGGGCAGAGATTGGTCGATGGTCAGAGCATCTGGAATCTATGAAGCTTCAGATGAGGAAAGAGAGGGACTCATTGAAGAGGTTGTCACAGAGAGAAATCTCAGAGGTACTGCACTCTCTCACACACTCCATCGCTTCTGTCCATCATCAGTCAGAACTCTAAATATCACCCTGCCTCTTTCCTCATCCCTCTTTATTACTCTCTTTCCCTTCTGTTTGTGTCTCTCTCTTCAGTTGAGAAAGGCTCTTGAGGACTTGTCATCTAGGTCAGGTGACCTCTCCAGGGCCAATCGGGAGCTGCGGGAGAAGACGACTGAGTTGGAGAAAGTGGTGTCCAATCAGAAAGCCCGTCTCAGAGATCAGAAGACGCAGCTCAAGCAACACCTGGATAATAGAGCCACTCTGGGCAACTCTCAGAAAATAAAAGTATCTACAGTGCTGTCTACTATATCAAATCAAAGTGTATTGGTCGCATACACATTTTTGCAGATGTTATAGCGGGTGCAGCGAAATGCTTATGTTACTAGCTCCTAACAATGCAGTAAAATGTCAAACAAGTACACAAATAATAATAATAATAATACAAATAATAAAAAGACTACAATAAATCTTGAAATGTCTAACTAGAAATGTTCTGAGCAAATAATGTAAGAATTAACACACACACAAAATAATAAAAAATAATGCAAAGTTAGCTAGGAGCTAGAAACAGGGTGGCCGTGTCTGTTGGTGCCATTTTGTGGACAAGCACCTGCTAATCCAGATGATGTCCTCTTTTTGTCACTCATGTTCTCCTCCCTCTGCTCTCAGGACATGGAGGGAGAACTAAAGAGCCTCAAGACCTTGAAGGATCAGTATCAGAAGAAGAACTATGAGCAGGTAGGACACCTCACACACACTTTATACACCTGTGGATGTTTACAGGATGGCATACATCAGTCACCATTGTCCTGTCTGTTTCCAGAGTGAGTTGATCCAGCAGTTCCGGTCCGAGACCTTATCCCTCCAGCGGGAGCTACGGCGCCTGTCCTCCAGCCAGGAGGGAGAGCTAGAGGCTGAGAGGGAACTGAGACACGTCATGCAAGACAAGTGTCAGGTTAGCAGGGGTTACGTATCTCCGTTTGTCATAAGCTAGCCTCGCTTAACTCAATGTTTTTAAATGGCTTAATTTAAGCTCCTTTACTTCTTGACTTTGACGGCGTATTGAGTCAGACATGTTTGTTTTAAAGTCTGCATATGTGTGTTTCTGTATTTGTTTGTCCTAGCAGAGGCTGGAGGAGAGCATCAAAAAGCTGCAGGAGGCCAAAGACGAGACAGAGCAGAAAATGAAAGAGGTCAGCCTGGAGTCACAGCAGGTAAGACTCCCTCCACCACCCGGAGTCACAGCAGGTAAGACTCCCTCCACCACCCGGAGTCACAGCAGGTAAGACTCCCTCTACCACCCGGAGTCACAGCAGGTAAGACTCCCTCCACCACCCGGAGTCACAGCAGGTAAGACTCCCTCCGCCACCCGGAGTCACAGCAGGTAAGACTCCCTCCACCACCCGGAGTCACAGCAGGTAAGACTCCCTCCACCACCCGAAGTCAAGACAATCTTATTTGTTCTGCTCCCTTATCTTCTCTTGCTTGGTCATTAATTATCTCACTCTGTATCTCCCAGTCTGTTGCCTGTTAACCGTGTGCACCTAAATAGCCCCTGAAGGGTTAGTAAAGTTGAACTGAATTGGAATTCTCCTGACATTATGCTTGTCCACACAATCAGATATCAGAGAACCTAGAGGAAGCTCACAGTTGGTTCCGGTCCAAGTTTGACAGCCTGAAGAGTGATGGAGAGCCAAACAGGTCTATGGGGGACGAGGAACCACAAGAGAATGGACACCATACCCCGGGGAGCAGTAAAGGGGGTGCACACAGTTCATCATGCAAACGCAGCAGAAAGGTGCTTTTCTCTCATATCACTTCATCAACTCTCACTAATAATGCCATGAGTCTGCATTCCTCTCAGCTTTTATGCATTCTTTGTTTGGTGTTTCAATGGTACCTCTTTAACACAGTTCTCCCAAAGTGACTCCATTAAACTCAATGAAAGAGACTCTAGGATGCTAGGGAGTGCTAAAATCACTGAGTGAAAAGTATGTCTTAACTGCCTGAGAAATTCAGAGAATTGTCCAATCCGTAGGAGTAAGAATTACAGCTATTCATTAACTTATCAAATATTTAAGTCCTCACACCCTCTGAGAAAACCTCTTAGCTCTAAAAGCAATATCGAGCTGAGAATTTTATTGGTTGCAGGCACAGACTATTCAAATTTTTCAGGGAAGGAGATTTCTAATTTAAAAAAAATTCTCATTGTAGTGGAGATTTAAAGCCCTCCACCAAAGTTAACAAAGACGTGCAGAACTATAGCTGGAAAAACATATCATCAGGGTTTGAACCATCCAATTTAATATTTTTGAATTATGGCCACGACTTTGCCCTGAGTATTTTTGTAAGCACACACCTTATTGAAAGCACTTGGTGGGAATTTTAACACCAGTTCTATGATCCAAATAACTTTATCAGACACTTTATGAAAATGGCCTGAGGTGTTTGTCTCAATGGGTTTAATTCTGTGTCTTGTCAAAGAGAGTGGTGTTGTCTTACAGACGGTTACCCAACGGCTATGGGGATGTGTACCTGAAAAGGGGATGAGAGTGGTTCCGGACGTAGACTCTCTATAAGTTCTCAATTTTATTCTTGTCATGTTCCAGACTCGGTGTGATAGCAGGCTTCCAGAACCTCCAGAGTGGGAGAGATGGAGAGCCACCATGCAACGCTGGGAGACCAAGAGAGAGCTGGCTCGCATTGCAAGTGGATACAAACCTGGTGGGACACATGTGTTAACACACGGACACACACAACAAGACACGCATACTGTATAGTGCATACACACACAACAAGACACGCATACTGTATAGTGCATACACACACACAAGCACTGGACCAAGGCACATCGAGAAACCAGCCCCTCACACAGTGATCCCATTTATTTATCCAAAACATTGAACACCAAGAAATATGAGAGAGCAGTAGCAGCCACATGAATGAGATAACAGCCACATATACAGTGAGGGGAAAAAAGTATTTGATCCCCTGCTGATTTTGTAAGTTTGCCCACTGACAAAGACGTGATCAGTCTATAATTTTAATGGTAGGTTTATTTGAACAGTGAGAGACAGAATAACAACAGAAAAATCCAGAAAAACGCATGTCAAAAATGTTATAAATTGATTAGCATTTTAATGAGGGAAATAAGTATTTGACCCCTCTGCAAAACATGACTTAGTACTTGGTGGCAAAACTCTTGTTGGCAATCACAGAGGTCACACGTTTCTTGTAGTTGGCCACCAGGTTTGCACACATCTCAGGAGGGATTTTGTCCCACTCCTCTTTGCAGATCTTCTCCAAGTCATTAAGGTTTCGAGGCTGATGTTTGGCAACTCGAACCTTCAGCTCCCTCCACAGATTTTCTATGGGATTAAGGTCTGGAGACTGGCTAGGCCACTCCAGGACCTTAATGTGCTTCTTCTTGAGCCACTCCTTTGTCGCCTTTGCCGTGTGGTTTGGGTCATTGTCATGCTGGAATACCCATCCACGACCCATTTTCAATGCCCTGGCTGAAGGAAGGAGGTTCTCACCCAAGATTTGATGGTACATGGCGCCATCCATTGTCCCTTTGATGTGGTGAAGTTGTCCTGTCCCCTTAGCAGAAAAACACCCCCAAAGCATAATGTTTCCACCTCCATGTTTGACGGTGGGGATGGTGTTCTTGGGGTCATAGGCAGCATTCCTCCTCCTCCAAACACGGCGAGTTAAGTTGATGCCAAAGAGCTCCATTTTGGTCTCATCTGACCACAACACTTTCACCCAGTTCTCCTCTGAATCATTCAGATATTCATTGGCAAACTTCAGACGGGCCTGTATATGTGCTTTCTTGAGCATGGGGACCTTGCGGGCGCTGCAGGATTTCAGTCCTTCTTGGTGACTATGGTCCCAGCTGCCTTGAGATCATTGACAAGATCCTCCCTTGTAGTTCTGGGCTGATTCCTCACCGTTCTCATGATCATTGCAACTCCACGAGGTGAGATCTTGCATGGAGCCCCAGGCTGAGGGAGATTGACAGTTATTTTGTGTTTCTTCCATTTGCGAATAATCGCACCAACTGTTGCCACCTTCTCACCAAGCTACTTGCCGATGGTCTTGTACCCCATTCCAGCCTTGTGTAGGTCTACAATCTTGTCCCTGACATCCTTGGAGAGCTCTTTGGTCTTGGCCATGGTGGAGAGTTTGGAATCTGATTGATTGATTGCTTCTGTGGACAGGTGTCTTTTATACAGGTAACAAACTGAGATTAGGAGCACTCCCTTTAAGAGTGTGCTCCTAATCTCAGCTCATTACCTGTATAAAAGACACCTGGGAGCCAGAAATCTTTCTGATTGAGAGGGGGTCAAATACTTATTTCCCTCATTAAAATGCAAATCAATTTATAACATTTTTGACATGCGTTTTTCAGTTTTTTTGTTGTTGTTATTCTGTCTCTCACTGTTCAAATAAACCTACCATTAAAATTATAGACTGATCATTTCTTTGTCAGTGGGCAAACGTACAAAAATAGCAGGGGATCAAATACTTTTTTTCCCTCACTGTATGTGATAGCAGCTGAATGCTGAGAACTGTGTGTGATGTCATCCTTTTATCTCAGTCTGAACTGTGTAAAGTTGGTTTTGAACATGCTGTTTTCAGAATAAGAACTGTACAATTATAACTTATACAAAGATTGTTCTTATTTTTAGATTCTTTATACAAAATTATAATATATTTCTTAATATCACTGTGTACAAATGATTTTCTCTGACTTGACTGGATTTAAAGTTTTGTATGTACATAATGTAGATGATTTGTTATGACCGTGGAATGTCAATCATATTGATCCTTCCTTGGCTTCCACAGCTTCTTGGCTGTGCAGACCAGGCCAGGGGCATTCAGAGTTCATCAGAGAGAGTATGTGCTGCATCAAGGAAGGCCCTGGAGTTAACATAATCCAATAGGAAGGGCTCTGAGTCCATAATGTCCAATAGAAATGGCTCTCAGTTGAAGTTGTCCAATAGGATGGATGACGTTGTTCAACAGGTTCATGCTTCCATCTTTAGAAACACAATCTTCATGCTAAAGAATCCATACTCTGGGGTGTGACATTTAGACATGGGGTTGTGGGGAGATTGGAGTCTCCGGTGGATCGAGAAGCATAGTTCACCATGATGTACACTAAGGTGTGAGTGGAGGGGTTAAGGGTTCAGACAGACTAGTCCATGATGTTCCATCACTATTCTTTGTCACTTTGGCCACTGGACACACTTAGCTACAAATCCTGAGCAAAAGGTCACTATGGATTCAACACTAAAAAAAAAGGGACCTTCAAAACCGTACAAACACACACACACTCACAGTAACACCATTCCAATAGTGTCCACAAGGCAAAGACCAGACAAGAAACAACAGTCAAGACGAACAAGGTCTCCACATCGGAGACCACTTCTCTGTTCAGCCACTGGAGGGCAGCATGGCAGCACGGTGTCCACTATTTACCTCATAGAAAAGGCTCACAAAAACATTGGCAGGCAACACACTGATCCCAGTAAGTGCAGTCCATACTGGCCATTGTCATTCAGGCAGTACAATCCCCAATCCCTTCTACACAAAGTTCTTGATAACACCAACTCTGAACCTGTTGCATTAAATTAGATTTAATAACACTCTTTACTACTGTCAAAATCGTAGTCGTTTTTAAGTGATTCAAATAATTAAAATGAATTGACATCACACAACTCAAAACCAAAAAGGTAATCCCATGACACATCTATTGAAATAAAAAAATTGATGTGAATCTAAATATATACAAATATATATAATTAAATGATATGCTTAAATGAGTGCTTGACTTGGATTGAAATAAAACCGGTACTCATTTTGGGTGCCTGTACTGTTTATATTTAGGTGTAGGAGCTCCACAATACTTTGAGCTAATATTCTATAAGAGGAACAGGAGCTCAAGCTGTAGAACATTTGAGGTGCCGGTACTCCGCTCCGGTGAGCTCCTGCCCAAGTCAAGCACTGGATATGTACATGAGTAGACAGTGAAGTGATCATGGTTTTGCCTGGTGGTGATGACATTTGCTTGCAAATTCTGTGATAAGAGAAAAAGGTAGTCCCAGGATTGAGATGAATGTGAAACTGAACAGAACATCTGAGACAGGTTGGTTAGGAGAGGAGAGTTGAGGTCACAGGTAAGTTCTAGTTGTTGGTGGGTGGTGGAGTTCAGAGGTCAATGTTGAGGGGTCACCATACAGAACACTTGTCAACAGGATGCATGGGGGAACCCTTTGGACAGTGGAACACTCGGGCAAACTCATCAAACTGGGACACGCTGCCAATCACCCTGCAGGGGTGGAGGGGAGAGAGAGAATGGTCCAATCAGAGAGGGGATTAATATTAGGTATGGCCTGTGATAGGCTGATGCACATCAGGAAAGTGAGGAAGTGTATGTACCTGTAATGCTCTGGTGCGTGCTTGTCAGTCAGTAACTGCAGGTATATGGACTGAGACCGTCTCTTCATACACCAGTTCTAATAGGAGAGAGGAGACAGTTAGCAGTAAAGGCCGTAAAAAATATCATCTTTACTCCTACTGCAACAACAAAAAGATTCCCAAGACTAAACAACATAGTCTGTACATAGTTTGTTGTGTACCTGTGCAAAGGCAATGAAGAGTAGTTGTTCATGTGTGTATTTGAGTCCAGGGAGAGGTCTTTCTGGACCATGTTCTCTGATCCACTTCTGATATGCCTGGAGAGGGAGAAGATGGAGAGATGGATAGAGGTAGAGAGAGAAGAGAGAGATGAGATTTGGGTCCTGGGCTTACAGACATAGCTTATCATTAGTCCATAGAGACAGTGACTGAGGGCTCTATTCAATCTCTAACGCTTCAGCGCCATAGAAACGTAAAGCTAATTTACGATTGAGCCGACATATGCAGCGTTTACCATGGATGCAGTCTCCGCTAAAGCAGGAACATTTCTTTTAAATTTTAATGACGCGTTAAAGCTGAACTTCTGTGATGCGGATTGAATAGAGCCCTGACAGACAGTAATCAGTAACGATTGACAGATAGCACAGTCTATAGGAAGATTTCACTCACAAAGTAAGACAGTTTAAGGCCTCCCATGTCTGCTATATTCTCCCCCAAAGTCAGACGGCCATTCACCTACAGACACACACAGGGGAAAGATACCATTACAACTCCCATTACAAGTGTGTGTGAGTGTCTAGTAAGCAGTATAACAAGGTATGCTATGCACCCACCCTCTGGTTATAGACAGTGAAGTTGTCGTAGAGTTTAACGATGCACTCTGCTTTCTTCTGAAACTTCTTGTATGACTCCTCCGTCCACCACTGCTTCAGGTTGCCGTGTCGATCATACTGGCCCCCTAAGAGAAAGACGACATCACTTAGCATGGGGGTCACAATTCGGCCACGCTGCAAGGTACAGTTGGCTACAGTTGTTGGCTATAGCCTTTTACTCTTGTCTGAAGTCATTTGACTGATTTCATTGGTTCGGTTAGGGGGAGGCGGGACTTCCATACCTTGCAGCATGGCCTGATAGTGAAGACCCACTTAGATGGGGGGCAAGAGGCTTGAGTTAGGATGACCAATGTGGACAAAAGACATTAACTCCTATTCAGAACTGATATTACACTGACATTACAATTTTACTACTGTTAGGCTACTACTGTTCATGCCCAATTGGATTTTAGGCTTTTATAAGACACGTGTAAGACGAGGATGCGTTCTCTCACCCCAGTCATCATATCCATGTGTCAGCTCATGACCGATGATGGCTCCTATTCCTCCATAGTTCAGAGATCTAGAGGGAGGAGGGAGAGAGAGGGGGATGAGTTACTAATCACTTAACATATCTGAGGACAACAACATAATGTCATATATTTATAATAACACAGTATAACACATAACCTGATAAACTTTTGTTCAGCTGGCAGTTCTAACCCCTGTCCTGAGGGGGACAGTAGAGTGTTACATACATCATAATCTGATCTGTTGACATATCTAACTGTTAATAACTGAAGAGAGTGTGTGTCCTGGCCACCTCTCCTTGACCAGGGTGGGTGAGGAGTGTGTAGTGTATTCTGGCAGACCATGCAGATGGAGATGCAGGGACGGCCAGAGGCCCGGGACTATCCACATGGCTAAGTCTGAAAATGACTTTCTGACAGGATGTCGATACCCTGCTGAGAGTTGCCCTCCAATCCTGAAAAAACTAACTGGCTGAGTGAGGCTTCATTACCTGGGGCCTGATAGCTGCGCTGGGCTAGCCTCAGTCTTTATGGCAGGTTAGGGCTACTGCAGTAATAACTCCAGGGAAAGGCACCACGACCACGCACACACATCTAATATCATATTCCATTCATCAGTATGCATGGGTGGATGCAGCGGTCGTATATGTGGTGTGGTGGTGATCACTTCTAATGGAATAAGTATGTGAATAAATAATACCGTGCCGTGAGAGTTGAGGGCTGCAGTATAGCTGGAATTGTGTTGTGACCATTAAGGGAAAGGGGAATGGTTTGGAGGTAGAATACGAGGGGTAATGTAGGGGGAAAGCATTGGTAATGCTGTAGAAGGGTTGTCCTGGAGAGCTACAGTACAGCGGGTGCAGGCTTTCGCTCCAGCCTAGTAGGCTACTAACTAACACACTTGATACAACTAATCAGTGTCTTAATTAGCAGTTGATTAAAATATTCAGAGTTGTACTCACTGTGGAAACTCAGGGTCGTACAGCGTGGGCTGAAGGATTCCAGCAGGAAATACTACAAGTAAAGAAAGAGATGATAGCATAAGATAAAGAGAGGGGTAGAGAGGCAGTGATACAGTATTAGAGGAATATATGGAGGGAGAGAAAGAGGTAGGGTAAAACGTTAGCTCTGATGGCTGTGTTTGTCTGGCTCTCTCTGTCGCTGCCTGCTCTGCAACTCACCATGAATGTTTTCTGTGAGGTAAATCCATGAGGCAGATGCAGACACCACTAGAGGCCAAGACTGAGGGGAAAGTGAGGGGAGATTACAGTGTGTGTGGGGGGCTGGTGTAAGTAAGTGAATGCAGAATAAGTGTGTTAAGGCGTGTGGGTGCCTCATCACATGGGTAGACCAGAAAGAAGAAGGAGAGGAGGAGTGTGTTATCTTGTATATACTAACGTTGATGTGCATTGGGGTCACACACTGACTCACCCATTTGGTTCTTGTTTGGGAGATAGTAGGCATTGAGGGCCTGAGGGGGAAGGAGCCACCTGAGAGGGAAACAAAGTCAATCAGGGGTTTATTAATCCTACATTCACTAAACATTTTCAAACAACAAGAGACACACTTCTCAAGTGTCACAGGCAATTTTTTTTCTAAACTTTGGAGGTTGTTTTAAGGTGAAAAATATTCAATATTTAGTCCAATATTGAGAATTCCTGTCTGCACAAGAAAACAGTCCCTTCATCATAATGTTTTTAAATCCAGGCGCATCGATTTGAGGACATTTCCCAAATTAATAACTTTTAAATTCAGAGATGCCCTTGTTCTGGTGGGAAAGACAGAGGGCCCTACAGACAGCGGAGAGATGAGGAGATGGATGGAGGGAAGAGGACATGTTTTCTCTGCAGAAGGAGAGATTAATGATGAAAGGAGTATATTTGTGATAAAGGAGGAATACATGATTTGGCAGTACAGGGTGGAGGGCTTCAGCTTGTTCGGACACAAAATCAGTTTTGAGTACTGTTTTAGGAGCACATTTTAAACAGTTACACAAAAGACGAGCTTATGGTATCTTCAATTTGTAGGTACATCACATGTATATTCTTCACTTCTATCATAAAATTGAATGTTTTGTGTCAAGAGGTGCATAGAACTTTGAATCTGTGTGTAGTTGTGTTATTGTGAGAATGAACATCTGGAGCAGTTGAAAGCATCACTCACGCAGTCTTGTCCACCTGCTTGTGGATCTTTTTGACAGACATCTTGATGTTGAACTTGATGCTGTTGAGGATGTTTTTGAAATAGGTATTTTCATCCACATCAAACTGGAGAACAAATAACAGAGGAGTGAGTGAGTGAGTGAGTGAGAGAGAGTGTTGAGAGAGAGCGAGAGAGTGTGAGAGAGAGAGAGGAGTGTGAGATGAAGAGAGAGTGTGAGATCGAATAGAGCTGAGTAGATAGCGCTAGAGAGAGAGCACGCAGAGAGAGAGCAGATGATCTAGATAGACGACTCTAAGAGCGGTAAGAAGATACGTCGAGACGCTATCAGAGATATCAGTATGAGTAGAAGCAGAAGTAGGAGAGGAGATATCTCACCCCATACTCCTGGTCTATGAGCTCTGGTTTGAGTAGGAAGTCTGGATAGCCTGTCATCACCATCATATGCTGCAGCTACGAGAGGTAAGGAAGGAAAGGGTCAGGGAAGAGAGAGAGGGGAAGAGAGACTTTGCACATATTTAGCCGACATATCCTTCATAGCCCACACACAACCAGCTAATCAAGCAGACTGTTATAATGGGATTACACTGGAGCACTTTTGTTTCAGCAAGTGCTCTAAAAGGATTAAGACTTTACATTCTGAAAGTATCAGACAACATACTGAGATAGGGATTTGACAAACCAGTATTAAACCGATCCAGAATAAAAGAACCCCTGCTTTCCTCCTACATGGTAATACAGTAGGCCTATTTGAGGTAGTGTGGTATCCTGACCTTGGCCCTGGCTGCCTCCTTGGTCACCTCATCCATCCAGTCCAGCTCTTGCAGCCGGAGGTCCAGTGAGTGCTTTATGTCCTCTATCAGCTCCTGTACCTGAGGGAAGAGAACAGGGGTCAGAGGTTAGAGGTCAGTTGTCTAAGGGTTCCATTGGGAGTGGGCAAGAGAGATAGATGTATCAGGTACGCCCAACGTCAGATAGACCCTTCGCCCTCTGCTCCTATCCCTAGGCACTTTCATAGATCTGAAACTGAAAGGATGGGTTAGCTGTCATATGTAGGAAATTCCTACATACAATGGCTAGGGTTTGGGGGTTGAGGCTAGGTTGGCATTGAACACAACAGAGGGAAAGAGAGGGGTGAGAAAGGAAGAGAGGAGTGAGAGAAGGAGGAATAGTATCGTGTTCATTCTAGGGGATGTGGTTTCCAATGGCATTCCTAACTCCTCTGACCCTTATCTTTATTTAAGCTCTTTATCACCTATATAGAGGCAGACTAGGATCGAGAGGGATAAGGTGTGATGATGGAAGGCTTAGAGTGGGATGGGGAGAGAGAAAGAGAGGCATTTTTTATTCTACTTCATATAAAATGACCAGACCATTACAGAAAGAAACAAAGAAAGAGACACAGTCAGAGACAGAGGGACAGAGATAGAAGCTGTGCTACCATGGCCCTGCTGTGAGGAGAGATGTAGAGACAGAGATAGAAGCTGTGCTACCTTGGCCCTGCTATGAGGAGAGGTGTAGAGACAGAGATAGAAGCTGTGCTACCTTGGCCCTGCTATGAGGAGAGGTGTAGAGACAGAGATAGAAGCTGTGCTACCTTGGCCCTGCTGTGAGGAGAGATGTAGAGACAGAGATAGAAGCTGTGCTACCTTGGCCCTGCTGTGAGGAGAGATGTAGAGACAGAGATAGAAGCTGTGCTACCTTGGCCCTGCTATGAGGAGAGGTGTAGAGACAGAGATAGAAGCTGCGCTACCTTGGCCCTGCTATGAGGCAATGGTGGAAAAAGTATCAAATTGTCATACTTAAGTAAAGAAAAAAATTAATAGTAAAATGACTCAAGTAAAAGTGAAAGTCACTCAGTAAAATACTACTTGAATAAAAGTCTAAAAGTATTTGGTTTTAAATGTACTTAAGTATCAAAAGTAAAAGTATAAATAATTTCAAATTCTTTATATTAAGCAAACCAGACGGCACAATGTTCTTGTTTTTTTTATTTCCGGATTGCCAGCGGCACACTCCAACCCTCAGACATAATTTACAATCGAAGCATTTGTGTTTAGTGAGTCCGCTAGATCAGAGGCAGTAGGGTTGACCAAGGATGTTCTCTTGATAAGTGTGTGAATTGGACCATTTTCCTGTCCTGCTAAGCATTCAAAAGGTAACGAGTACTTTTCGGGTGTCATGGAAAATGTATGGAGTAAAAAGTACATTATTTTCTTGAGGAATGTAGTGAGGTAAAAGTAAAAATTGTCAAAAATATTTAAGTACAGATAGCCCATAAATGACTTAAGTAGTACTTTAAAGTATTTTTACTTAAGTACTTTACACCACTGCTGTGAGGAGAGATATAGAGACCGAGAGACAGAGATAGAAGCTGCCCTACCTTGGCCCTGCTGTGAGAGGAGAAGTGCTGCTGGACGAAGAGTGCTCCCAGGGCCATGCCGAAGTGTTTGTTGGCCTGGGTGAGACACAGCCTCCCCAGCTCCAGTTGACGCTCCGTACCGTCAATCTCTCGGGAAAACTCATGGATGGTACTCCGGAACGCCGTGGACAGGTGTTCACTGAGAGCTGCTACAATCCGCCACAGCATGTAGTTATGGAGAACCCTGGCAAGAGAGGGAGGGGGGAGACCGGGAGAGAGATTGAGAGAGGAGGGGGGAACGATTAGTTTTCGTTTTTAACAAGGCTTTATTGTATAATTAAGGAGTGCCCCTTCAGAGATTCAATGTGGAATCCTCCGGGAAAAGAGAAATGCTAAAAATATAGGAGAAGGGCAAAGACAGAAAAGGTGGGCAAAGAGAGAGAAGGGGAGTACAGCAAAGGAGATACAAGCAGGTTAGAAAAGAGGAGAGAGACAGAGAGTATGGGTGGAGGGAAGAGAGGAGAGAGACAGAGAGTATGGGTGGAGGGAAAGAGAGGAGAGAGACAGAGAATATGGGTGGAGGGAAGAGAGGAGAGAGACAGAGACTATGGGTGGAGGGAAGAGAGGAGAGAGACAGAGAATATGGGTGGAGGGAAGAGAGGAGAGAGACAGAGAGTATGGGTGGAGTAAAAGAGGAGAGAGACAGAGAGTATGGGTGGAGGGAAGAGAGGAGAGACGGACAGCAATTGAAAAGAGAAAGGAGAGTATAGAAGAAGAAAGGAAGAAGAGTCCAAGAATGACTCAGACGAGTAGAAGTAAAAAATATATGTATTTCATTCATGTATTCAAACGTTCTTTTCCCTTCTCAGTAATTTAAGGTTGTGCTTAATGTGTTGAGGGATCCCACAGAGTGAACATATCCATTCTGCCCTCAGGACAAGTGGTCCTGTCTCTTACTGTGAGACTCTGCTCCACGTTGTTCTCTGTTTTTATTTTTGACATCCACATTGCATATTAAATCAAAACTGCCTTGGCAAGGCAGCCCCAGTGTCTCGCCAACAAAGCACTTCTGAAGTGAAATTAATTGAGAAGAGAGAGAGGAGGAGGGAGGAAGAAGAAGACTGAGACAGTGTCTGTGTTCTTTGATACCTCTAATAATCAGTACAGATCAGTGTGTTGTAGGTGTGGCAGCTTCGTTTGGTTGTGTGTGTGTGTTTACTCTGTTGAATAAAACACATTTTTTATTAATTTGTTTCAGATTACTTGTTTGCAAGGGGCACAGCTAGTGTGTGTGTGTGTGTGTGTGTGCGTGTGCATGTGTCAAAATCTAATCCCAGATGGAGTTGGTGTGTGGGGTGGTGGGTAGATTTAGGAGACCTGGGAGATTAGACGGAAATGAAAAGGCTTTAGTTAAATGTATTCTAATGATCAAACAATAGCCTTGAATCATCATGGGATGGGAATTAAAAATCATTAGAAGACTGGATTGTAATGGAGCTCATTGTTAAGATAAAATACATTGTCCCTCCAGAATACCTGCAGACATTACCCTCTGTAATAATGGTCCTACAGCTCCTACCCACAGTCTAACCTCACACACACACACACTCACACATTCACACACACTTCCCCTTGAGACGAGCGTGAGTGATAGAGTGACAGACGGATGAGCAGAGAGAAAGGAGGGAATGAGAGGGAGAGGTTGTTGAGAGATGCTGGTGTTGTCATTACTGTTTCAGCCTCATTGGACACCAGCTCATCTGGTTAATGGGATTGGATGCAGTTGTCTGGGTCTTGTCAATAGATCCGGGAGGGAGGGAGGGAGATGGGGGGGGGGGGGGGGGGGGGGGGGGGGGGGGTGTAACTGTGTAATTGGAGACTCGTAAAGAGCAGTGGAGAGACCCCATACTGAGAAGCACAGGGACATTTCTCGTCAGTTATGCAAATGAACAAGGGGTGCACAGTGGGTGGCGGTAGGAACAGGAGTCCACCACACCCAGTGGTGTGTGTGTGTGTGACAGAGAGGAAACAGCGACCCTAACCTTTGATTTAACACAGATAATGGACTCAGCAGGAGTGATTCAGAGAGACAGAGAACAGAACTGAGGCCTGGAGAGAGAGAACAGGGGAAAGGGAGAGAGGGAACAGCAACAGGAGGAGGAGAGAGTGCTAGGAAATAGAGGGATGAGGTTGGGGTATGAAAGAGAGGAGAGATAATGAGATGGAGATGAGAGAGAAGCAGCAAGAGAGACAATGGAAAAGAGATGACGAGGGGAGAGAGACGGAGCAACGGAGGGAAAAACAGAACTGGAAAAAGAGACAGAGGACAGATTGAAAAAGAACAGACAGTAGAAAGAGGGAGGCAGGAGAAGGAGAAAACAGAGAGGAGGGTTTTATTACTGAAATCACCAGGAGGGAGAGAGAGATGGAGAAAGAAGAAGAGAAGTAGAGAAAAGAAGGGAAAAACAACAAAAGAAAAGAAACAGAAAATCTCCCGAGCCTCCAGGGGATTGGCTGTAATGCCAGTTGTCACCATGGCGATGATAATAAGGGTGATTATAGCAAAGAGGATTATGATAAGATTATTATTACATTATCTGATATTAGATAACATGACATTTTATGAGAGCACTCACCCCATTGTGTCTCTTTTCTCACTCAACAACTGATATAACTACGTACAAGAACAGACAAAAGGAGGAAAGGAGATAAGAGAGTGAGAGCTGGAGGGAGAGACGGAGGGTGTATGAAGGATGAGGAAGGGAGGGAGGGAGGAAGTTGAAAAAGAAGAAAGAGAAAAAACCTATACAGACAGACATCAATTGAAATGAATTGTAATTCTATGAACTAAAATGAACTGAGGGCCAGTCAGCTACAGACTGGTAGACGTGTGAACTGTAGAGTAGAGTAGAGTAGAGCATAACACCAGTCAGTATTGGAGAGCTGTCAGAAACCAGCACCCTGACTCCCACTAGCCTCCACAGCCACCTCTGGAGTCTGTCAAGAGCTGTCTTTGACAGCACAATTCTGTGTATGTGTGTCGAGGAGGGGGGTCCAGATCGATACTAATCATCCACAGTAGAGCTGGAAGTTCACATTTACATTTTAGTCATTTAGCAGACGCTCTTATCCAGAGCGACTTACAGGAGCAATTAGGGTTAAGTGCCTTGTTCAAGGGCACATTGACCGATTTTTCACCTAGTCGGCTCGGGGATTCGAACCAGCGACCTTTTAGTTACTGGCACAACGCTCTTAACCACTAAGCTACCTGCCGCCCACCAGTGATGCCCCCCCACCCCACCCCACCCCACCCCACCCCACCCCACCCCACACACACACAAACACACTCAAAAATGAATCTATACACACTATGACACTTCAATATGACACAACCTATAGTAACAGCCCTAGTAAAGGCCACACACGAATTCAGCAACTCTTACAAAAATGCTTACACATGCTCAAAACTCATTTCTCTTATGCCATTGATTTTTCATACAACTCTCTAACCTTTGCATTCTTCCTATGCCTCTCATCCACCCTTCTCCTCCTCCCTCCTCCCACCCTCCCTCTCTCACCTTTTGGAGGTGGTCTTGATGATGTCGGAGACTTTCTCCATGTAGTCAGTAGCTAACACCACTATCTCTTCATCCTCAGAGAAGTTATCATGGAAGATTCTGTCTAACAAACGTTTCCAATGCAGCTGTAGAGACAGAGGAGAGGAGAGGAGAGGAGAGGAGAGGAGAGGAGAGGAGAGGAGAGGAGAGGAGAGGAGAGGAGAGGAGAGGAGAGGAGAGGAGAGGAGAGGAGAGGAGAGGAGAGGAGAGGAGAGGAGAGGAGAGGAGAGGAGAGGAGAGGAGAGGAGAGAGCAGGTTTGCGTTTTAACAAGTGTGAGGGAAAATGTTATGTTTGTGCTTTTCTAATAACCAATTCGACTGGGTTCATGCAAGTGACTGATTGATCATGCCTGGGAGGAATCTTCACTATCAGTATAAGCAATTTGGCAGTATGCCCAGAACATTGCTTTGAGAACTAAAAGGGGTTTCAAGGTCTCAGCTTGGACAGAAGAAGCCTCATGAGGTATTGGTCGGTCACATGCAGGAACCAAACGTTAATGATAAATTAATTATGAATAATGTAAATCATGCAAATATAACATGTCTGTGTAAGCAGTATATAAGAGAACTAACGGGACTGCCCTGGCGGAGCTCCCGACCAACGTGTACTACTTGGTGCATTAAGTTTGTTGGAACCTCTCCAGCTTGCTGATAATAAAGAATCATTTATTTAATATTGACTGACTCTCTGGTGGTAAAGATAAGAAAACATGATTGTTGTCACCCTGCTCTGATGAAGGAAGGGGGGTTCCAACAAGCCTTTATTGTACCAGTAAGGAAAGTGTAAATGCTGCCTCCACAATATCAACAATATATAGAGGATAACAAGAAGGTAAAGCCCTAGAAAGCCCTGCTCACAGTTTAGGTCATCCACAACACAAAGTTCCTCTTTAACTGCTGAGCATACAGCATCCCTATAATCCCAAATGGTCTCATAATCTCCCACTATTGTTAACAGCCAATAGTGGGACAGTAGAACAAAGTGAGAGAGAGAGTGAAAGAGGGAGAGGTGGAGAGGGATAAATCAGTATGAACGTAATTGACATTCCCCCATTTGACCATGTCTGTATGTCTGTCTGAGCATTTACTGATCTAGGATCTTAATTTGAACCAGTTTGCGACAGCAGGAAAAAAATCCTGCAGTAACAGGAAATGTGAATTATTATGTGGATATAATTCATGGACATTTTTGTAGGGATTGATACATTTTTCGTTAGGGCAAATCTAGTCTGAAATTTCAAAGTGGAAATTACAAACTTTAGAATTGTTTTTAAAACTCAAATACACCACAAGTTTGCACTTCATTCTCTGCAGGAATATTCTCAGCAACAAAAGTGATCAAATTAAGATCGTACATCTGTATATCTAATTGTCCACAGTTACAGCTACTGTCTATTACTCCTTCCTTGGGTTTTTCTGTCTGTCTCTACGTCCATCTGTCTGTCTCTCTGTATGTCACTCTCCATTTGCACCTTTTTAGTCATCTCTTTCACCATTTATTTATTTCATTCTTTCTTTCTTTTTCTCTCTCTCTCATGTTTCTTTCTCTTGTTTTATCAGTGATGCTTGTGAAGCTCACTTCATCCATCTCTCTCTCCGTTCATGCCTTTCACTCCCCTCCCTTCTTCTCCAATCAGAAGTGATGGAGCAGCTCTGAATTCTCCATCAGTTTCCTGCTGCTCTCCAACGCTCCTTACGGCTCTCCCCTCCTGTCTTCCCCCCTCTCCTCCCTCTTTCTCTCCCTCCCCTCAGTCCCTCTCTCCCCCAGATTCATTCCATATGCCCCCCATCGGTTCTCCTCTCTCTCCTCTTCCCCCCTCCTCCGTCCCTCCATCCTCCTTCTGTAGTCCTCCGTCGACCCCTATTCATCCCGTCCTCTCCCTTCCTCAACCCTCTTTCTCCCTCTCTTCCTCCCTCCTTTCGTAGCCCCCCGTTGGTCTCCTTCTATCCCCGGAGGGCGGAGAGCTTCGCTGAGCCACGGAGGCGTGCGTATGAGAGGTTCACGGGGCATAGAATGGCCCCCCGCCTCGCACACACACTACAGACACACACACACACTTCACAATGCTCTGCTGGAGTTCAGCTCTTAATCCATCACACTTCTGCACACACACACACACAATACAGATATAAAGATGTGTGTGTGGTACTCACACTGGGAGCGATGCGCTGTAGTTGTCTCAGGGTGATGCGGTTGTACATAGTGCTGATGTCCTTTCTCTGTTCATCATACTCAGACACAGTGATCTGAAACAGAGGGGAAGAAACATTATAACTGAACACATAAACACACATACAGCACCAGTCAAAAGTTTGGACACCTACTCATTCAAGGGTTTTTCTTTATTTTTACTATTTTCTACATTGTAGAATAATAGTGAAGACATCAAAACTATGAAATAACACATATGGAATCATGTAGTAACCAAAAAAGTGTTAAACAAATTCTTCAAAGTAGCCACCCTTTGCCTTGATGACAGCTTTGCACACTCTAGGCATTCTCTCAACCAGCTTCATGAGGTAGTCACCTGGAATGCATTTCAATTAACAGGTGTGCCTTGTTAAAAGTTAATTTGTGGAATTTCTTTCCTTCTTAATGTGTTTGAGCCAATCAGTTGTGTTGTGACAAGGTAGGGGTGGTATACAGAAGATAGCCCTATTTGGTAACAGACCAAGTCCATATTATGGCAATAAGCAAAGAGAAATGACAGTCCATCATTACATTAAGACATGAAGGTCAGTCAATCCCGAAAATGTCAAGAACTTTGAAAGTTTCTTCAAGTGCAGTCACAAAAACCATCAAGCGCTATGATGAAACTGGCTCTCATGAGGACCGCCACAGGAAAGGAAGACCCAGAGTTACCGCTGCTGCAGAGGACAAGTTCATTAGAGTTAACTGCACCTCAGATTGCAGCCCAAATAAATGCTTCACAGAGTTCAAGTAACAGACACATCTCAACATCAACTGTTCAGAGGAGACTATGTGATTCAGGCCTTCATGGTCGAATTGCTGCAAAGAAACCACTACTGAAGGACACCAATAAGAAGAAGAGACTTGTTTGGGCCAAGAAACGCAAGCAATGGACATTAGACCGGTGGAAATCTGTCATTTGGTCTGATGAGTCCAAATTTGAGATTTTTGGTTCCATTCGCTGTGTCTTTGTGAGACACAGAGTAGGTGAACGGATGATCTCCGCATGTGTGGTTCCCATCGTGAAGCATGGAGGAGGAAGTGTGATGGTGTGGGGGTGCTTTGCTGGTGACACTGTCTGTGATTTATTTAGAATTCAAGGCACACTTAACCAGCATGTCTACCACAGCATTCTGCAGTGATACGCCATCCCATCTGGTTTGCGCTTAGTGGGACTATCATTTGTTTTTCAACAGGCCAATGACCCAAAACACACCTCCAGGCTGTATAAGGGCTATTTGACCAAGGCGAGTGATGGAGTGCTGCATCAGATGACCTGGCCTCCACAATAACCCGACCTCAACCCAATTGAGATGGTTTGGGATGAGTTGAACTGCAGAGTGAAAGAAAAGCAGCCAACAAGTGCTCAGCATATGTGGGAACTCATTCCTCATGAAGCTGGTTGAGAGAATGCCAAGAGTGTGCAAAGCTGTCATCAAGGCAAAGGGTGGCTACTTTGAAGAATCTAAAATCTAAAATATATTTTGATTTGTTTAACACTTTTTTGATTACTACATGATTTCATTTGTGTTATTTCATAGTTTTGGTGTCTTCACCATTATTCCACAACGTAGAAAATAGTAAAAATAAAGAAAAACCCTTGAATGAGTAGGTGTGTCCAAACTTTTGACTGGAAACTGTATATAAACACACACAGACACACACTTACGTTGGCCAAGAGTGTTTCCAGCTGTAGGATCTCTTTGGACTTCTGAGTGGCATTATGAGCTCCCAGCATGCTTAGCAGACGCTCCATCAGGGCCTTGTAAGCCGCCAGGATCTGTCCATGACATCATCATTAATGGACATTGGACAACAACATTACATCATTATTAATGGTCAATGGACAGCAGTGTGACATGTGGCGGAGCACACTGGATAACAAAGGGAACAGAGATGACAGGAACAAACCGGTGGATGGATAGAGAAGAAAGGAATTGGTCGATAATTGAACAGATGGAGAGATGGAGTGGTGGATAGAAAGAGGGAGGGGGTAATCCTTTACCTTCACACTGTCCTCATCCTGCCCCAGGTACAGAGTCCTCTCAGGCAGTGTGAGCCCCTCCTGATCAATCTACAAATACACACACATACGATCACAACCAAGAGAACACATATGAACACGTGTAATCAACACAGACAGGTAAATAAATAGATGGTATATCAGTCAGATGATAAACAGCAGGTGTTCACACACACACACGCAGAGATAGACAGACAGACAGACTGACAGACACACACACACACACACACACACACACACACACATACACACACACACACACACACACACACACACACACACACACACACACACACACACACACAAACACACACACACACACACACACACACAGACACACAGACACACAGACACACAGACACACAGACACACACACTCTTACCCTGATAGCGTTGCGTGAGGAGTTCTTATCGTCCACATTGACAGTGAGAGAGAAGAAGACAGCAGTGCTGTACACCCCCTGGGTCCTATAGAGCAGCTCATTAAAGTCTGGCCTGGCTGGTGCAGTACTGCTCTCCCACCCCGCACCACCAGAGGGCGCGCCAACCAGGTCCCACCCGCCACAGCTGTCAATCACCTCTGTCATGGGCCCTGACCCCAGCTTGTCAAGCTCCTGGATGTTCACACAGGAGCGGTAGAACTCTTTCACCTTGCGTTCAGCCGAGTGCACGGTGCGCCGGCGCACGGGCTCCAGCAGGAGGCGTTGTAGCTTCTCTTCGTTGTGCTCTCCGATGGCGGTGATGATGCCGTAGCTCAGCTTGTCCTCTGGGATGCCGTGGCGCCGTAGCCAGCCGCCGCAGGCGAAGCTGTAGAAGTCCTGGCAGGGCTGGATGGTGGGGTCGATGTTGGCCTGGACGAAGCGTGCGGCGCGGACTAACGAGCGTTTCTTCTGGCAGTCCTGTCTGCAGTGCGCCTCCTGCTGGAAGTCCAGGGAGATGTATTTGAGGGCCAGCATGCTGCCCAGGATGACACACATCCCCGCAGCGAACACCAGAGCAGAGAGCAGGCAGATCTCCCTGCGGCTCCAACGAGGACGTCCCTGTCCACTGTTGATGCCACTCAGGTCCCGACTCCGATCACTAGCCCCGCCCCCTTTGCCTCGGCCCCGCCCAACGTTACGGTCCAGGCTCCCGCCCAAGTGCAAGCTCATACCGTTGCTAAGGGTGCCGCTGCTATAGCGACCACCATACTTGACCTCCTGGAACTCATCGTAGTGGGCTGTGAGGGAGTATGTCTTTTCCATGGCAACGAGGGTTGATTAGCGTTACGTTGTTGAAAAGAGAGACTGATAGAGGGAGTGGTGGAAGGTGAGAGAGAGATGAGTCTTTCAGATGGCCATGTCCCTCCAGGCCTGATATGGGAGAGGAGTGCGCCCACTAGAGGGCTAAAGCGGAAACGGTGCCCAAATGCCCTGGGCTTTCCTGAACACACTGCCTTGTGTATGTCTCCTCTGCTACCCTTACCTTTACAGAGTTAGGGAACACTGAGGCTGTCTGTCACTAGGTTTCTCTGTCAGTGTATCTCGTGGGTCTTGGTCTCTCTTTCCCTTTCACCCTGTCTTCCTCTCTTCCTTTCCCCCCAGTCTGTCTGTTAATAGAAAAGGAGGAGAGGAGAGGAAGAGAGAGGGAGGGAGGGGAGATGAGACAGAAGATGGAATCCATTATTACAGCACTGAGAGAAGACAAAGGGTACTGTCTCTTTTGAGATGCTCTTTTTTCTTTCATTCTGTCGTTCTTTCCTAAAGTTCTTTGGATTGATTTCTGACACCCATCCATCAGGGAGATGATGTCGCTCTGTGACTCATGACTTTGGATGGACCGATAGGGAGGAGAGGAGAGAGGGAGGGAGGGGATGGAAGATGGAGAGAGAGGATGAGAAGAGGAAAGTGGGAAGGAAAGAGGGAGGGAGAGATAGGATGGGGGGAGTGTGCAGAGGGAGGGAAGGGGTAGACAAAGATGCAGAAAAAGGGGGAGATGGAAGGAAGAGGGATGGGAATGGTATGGGGGAGTTATTTAGACAGGCAGGAACGGACATTCTGCAGGACGTGTTGTGAGGACACACACACATACCAGCCAGGTCACCCGTGATACAAGTCAGTATTCGACATCCATCCATGTCGGAGGACGTCAGGAGATGATGTGGAAACTGGCCACTAGGGGTAACAGTAGGCGCTGTTATCTTGAAGTAGGTTTCGGTTTTGCTAAGGCATTGTGGACGGGGATGGTGGACAGAAGCATCTGCCTCTGATTCCAAAGGTTGCAAGTTTGAATCCAGCATTTGAAAGTTGTTTTTGATATTTTTGTTTTAAGCCTATCCCAAACCTTAACCATTTGGAATTAATGCCTAACCTTAAACATTTGAAGTTAGACGTTTGGAACTTCAAAATTTGATGTTTGAGTAACATGGATGAACGTCTAATTCTGACGTGAGACTGAGAGAGCTGGGAGCACATACACACACACAGAGCAGGTGATACATTCACATGCACGTTAAAAACACTTACAAATAGAAGAAAAGGCTGTTAAAGACATCAGAGCCAACGTTTTAAACTCTCAGAGGAGATATTGAGTGTCAATTCTCAAAGATTGCTATCCCAGCTTTCAGAAGTTCGATCAGTCTGAGACTGGCTTTTCACTATAGTGGAGTGAGACAAACGGCAATACACACCCATCAACATAACACACCACACACATTCTCCTCTCTTTCTTTCTTTCTTTCTTTCTTTCTTTCTTTCTTTCTTTCTTTTTCTTTCTTTTGCCTCAGGAAAGTGAGCGGAGAGATCAAAGATTTTAAAAGAGGGCAGCCAGGTTGTGTTGAGGCCAGGGTGTGTGTTGAGGCCAGGGTGTGTGTTGAGGCCAGGGTGTGTGTTGAGGCCAGGGTGTGTGTTGAGGCCAGGGTGTGTGTTGAGGCCAGGGTGTGTGTTGAGGCGGGGTGTGTGTTGAGGCAGGGGTGTGTGTTGAGGCCGGGTGTGTGTTGAGGCCGGGTGTGTGGTGTGTTGAGGCCAGGGGTGTGTTTGAGGCCAGGGGTGGTGTGTTGAGGCCAGGGTGTGGTGTTGTTGAGGCCAGGGTGTGTGTTGAGGCCAGGGTGTGTGTGTTGAGGCCAGGGTGTGTGTTGAGGCCAGGGTGTTGTGTTGAGGCCAGGGTGTGTTGAGGCCAGGGTGTGTGTTGAGGCCAGGGTGTGTGTTGAGGCCAGGGTGTGTGTTGAGGCCAGGGTGTGTGTTGAGGCCAGGGTGTTGAGGGTGTGTGTTGAGGCCAGGGTGTGTGTTGAGGCCAGGGTGTTGTTGGTGTGTTGAGGCCAGGGGTGTGGTTGAGGCCAGGGTGTGTGTTGAGGCCAGGGTGTGTGTTGAGGCCGGGGGGTGTGTGTTGAGGCCAGGTGTGGTGTGTGTTGAGGCCAGGGTGTGTGTTGAGGCCAGGGTGTGTGTTGAGGCCAGGGGTGTGTGTTGTTGAGGCCGGGGTGTGTTGAGGCCGGGGTGTGTGTTGAGGCCAGGGGTTGGTGTGTTGAGGCCAGGGGTGTGTGTTGAGGCCAGGGTGTGTGTTGAGGCCAGGGTGTGTGTTGAGGCCGGGGTGTGTGTTGAGGCCGGGGTGTGTGTTGAGGCCAGGGGTGTGTGTTGAGGCCAGGGTGTGTGTTGAGGCCAGGGTGTGTGTTGAGGCCAGGGTGTGTGTGAGGCCAGGGTGTGTGTTGAGGCCGGGGTGTGTGTTGAGGCCAGGGTGTGTGTTGAGGCCAGGGTGTGTGTTGAGGCCAGGGTGTGGTTGAGGCCAGGGTGTGTGTTGAGGCCGGGGGTGTGTGTGAGGGCCAGGGGTGTTGTGTTGAGGCCAGGGTGTGTGTTGAGGCCAGGGTGTGTGTTGAGGCCAGGGTGTGTGTTGAGGCCAGGGTGTGTGTTGAGGCCAGGGTGTGTGTTGAGGCCAGGGTGTGTGTTGAGGCCGGGGTGTGTGTTGAGGCCAGGGTGTGTGTTGAGGCCAGGGTGTGTGTTGAGGCCAGGGTGTGTGAGCATCTGGCTCTGTGTTTGTTTGGCTGTTATTCGTCTACCAAATCAACCCAGTGAATTGTGGTTCCCTTGAATGTAGACTTAGTAGCCATCAGTAACTTGATACTTGTGATTATCTTTCCTTCTCTACAGTTCAGTATTTATTTCCAAAACGATATATCCACTAATTTTTCACATTTGTGTTTTTTCATCAGAAATGATTGCTTATGGGTACCTTCATGTGTGTGTAAAATATTATTGGTCTCAGATTTTTAGATGTGTATGAAAAATATATATTTTTTTGGCAAAACGCTATACTGTATATCCATTGTTTAGCTGGAATAAAGTGTTAGTATCCTGAATTTTATTGTGATATGTGGTGGTCTCACCTAGCTACAGTATCTTAAGATGAACACATTTAAGTCACTCTTGATAAGAACATCTACTAAATGACTAAAATGTCAAATGTAAATGTTTTACATACAGATCTCATATTACTCGATTGAATTATTATTTTAAATTATTATTTTAAATATTGATGTTACAAATGTATAATTTGTACATTTCTTTATTAAAAGTGTAGTTATTTGTTACATTTGACTGTACTAATTATTTGGTGGATATATAGCTTTTTACAAAACAACATGATTATTTGTCTCTCTGAAATGAAACCAACAAGTGATAGATTTAAACAAATATGTTGACATTGAACAAGCCCATGCCATGATTAGATAGGGTAAAAACGCACCAATCTCTTTTATAATTTCTTAAAATAATAAAAGCTAATTTACCAACATTTCTGAAAATGGATATATAGCGTTTGGGAAAAAAACTTTTCAATATGTACTCTATGATGACCTGATGTCCACTATGGTCCAGTACACCAAATATTGAAATATTGAGTGTAAAAGATTAAGCGAAACCCTGTGCACAGCAGTGGATCTAGGTCCAGTGCTGGTTTTGGCAGGAACAACTATAAATATAGTATTCATAAACGAGTAAAAGCAGCACACTGAAAAAATAAGAAATATAAGAAATACACATCAAAGTCATTGTTTTTGAGTGTGAAAAAGAATGGCGCACACACAGTCTGCATTATATCAGCGTATGTGTGCGCAGAATCTGAATTTGAGCATGTCTGTATATAAATACATCTAAATATAATTGTGGTTCACGTCATCTGGAACAGGAGAGGACAGGAGGAGGGGAGGAAGAGAGGATGGAAGGAAGATGCGGTTTGTGCGGAGGGAGAGACTGGGGACACAGACACAATCACATCAATGACCTGCCTCCCACTGATGAGATACCAGACTGCAAATCAACATTGCTATTCACACCTGCTCAACTTTAGCCAGTACAGGAACTATAGAGAGGGAGAGCAGGAGAGGGAGGAGGAGAGGAGAGGGGGAGAAAGAGTGATAGAGGCAGAGTTGTTTCTCTGTGTGTGAGGAGAGAACACACTGGGCACAGACTTAAGTTCAACGTCTGGTTTTGATTTACATTTGATTGAGTTGTCAACTATTGTAAATTCAATGTGAAATCAACCAAAAATGTCACCATGTCATTGGATTTATGTTAAAGTTGGGTGAAAAAAACCAAAATGCCCTTACGTTGATGACTTTTTGCAAATCCAATGAGTTTTCTACATAGATTCACATCATAACATTGATTTTTGGGGTTGAAATGAGGGGGTACTGGGGTGAAATGAAGGAGGAGGAAAAGGGGGAATTGTGTTTCTTCACAAGATGTAATTATCTATCCTCTCCATCATCCATCAAGAGTCATGACTCTCCCCCTCTGTCACACAAACACACACATACGCACACACACACGTACACACATGCACATTTATCCACACACACACACATTACACACATACTTATCCACACTCGCATGCACACACACACCAGACACATTAATTTATTATAAACACTGATATTCACTCTTGATGGACCATACCGAATGCTGTATCTCATATCAACATACACACATAGGCACAAATTGGTAGGATAGCCTCGTGCATGGAGAGGGACACACACACTAACATCCAATCTGTACTTAAAACAATTACAGAATCATAACACACACACACACTAACTGAGTCCTCTCGCAGTGGGCAGACATAAAATTGTGTTGCCCACACTGTCTGGCTAATGGATTGGATCTGAGTAGCATCACTATGAGAGGAGAGGCTGATGAATGGCTGTTTACCAGACATGATAGGTCTAATGTCTGAGAGTGATATTAATGCTGCTCTCTGTCCTGCACAGTCCATACAC